ATTATTTGTTCTGTTGCTTGCATTCAAGATTTTGTGCTATTAAAAAAAAGATACTAAGCTGAATTGGCTGCTTGCTTTAGCAAACAGAGATCTTTGAAGGAAGGCGTAGTAGGATAAATTCAGGCATTGCCTTGAATATATGAACTCTCTTTAGGAAAGGCGGAACAGTTGATCCGCTAACTTGCAAGCAGATGGTTTGGCCTGTTCTGTTTTTAGTATGATCTTTATTGAAACTTTTGAACAAGATAAAAACTAATACAAACTAATATGAAGTAAGGCAGAAAAATGAAAAAGAAGTGAAAGAAAAAGCAGAAAGTGCATAAAAAAAGTTGGAAAAAAACCCCCAGAAAAGAAAGAAAAAAGATCTAAAGAAATGGCTTCCAATATTCTTCATAGCAGTTATAAGTACAAATATATTTTAACCTATCTCTCTAACATTAGATCATATTATTCTTTCCATAGTCTAATCAGAGCCGTAAATTATAAGTTCACTTTTTTCCTTTTATTATACAAAAAGTCCATAAGAGCTTTCCAGTCACCTCTAAATTTAGATAATGTCTTTTCTCTAATCAAAGATGCCAGTGTATCCATTTCAGCAAAATCTGTGAACTTCATTCCTTCATAATGGGTAGTGTCATATCTTTCCATCTCTTCATTTGCAGTAATCCGACCACAGTAATCATATATTGAAATAACCTTCCATGGCTTTTTACTATTTATCTATTATTCCTAAAATAAAAGTTATGGCTTCAATTGAATAATGATGTTTAAAATCCTCTGTATCAAAGTATGTGTTTTAATCCAAAATTATCAGGGAGCAGGGTGGCTCACATGGTTAGATGCTGAGTTGACAAGAACCAAGTGCTACCGTGGGGCGGGGTGAGCTCCCGTCCTTTGCTCTAGCTCAGGGGTAGGCAACCTTGGAATTCTGGGAGTTGAAATCCACAAGTCATAAAAGAGCCAAGGTTGCCTACCCCTGCTCTAGCTCCTCCTGGGGATGTGAAAAGAGCCCCTAACTGAGCCTTCCCTTGAGCAACAATGCTGTCACCAGCTAATTCTTTCAGTCCGGAAGCACCTTGATGCTTCCGACATGAGTGCAGTGCGAGGTGATCCAAAATTATTTAGCTGAAGTATGATAAAGTGTCCCTTCATGTTGTTTACATTTCCAACATACACTTGAAATGCCTTTATATATTCTAGGTGATTTCTCTAGTGTCATGCACCAAAGATACATCATTTTATAAACAGTCTCGTTGAGATTGTAACACAATGTAAATTTCAGCCCTTTTAACTGTATATTGTCCCATTGATCCATCAGTATATTATAACCAACATTTTAAATCCACTTTATCATATATTCTTAACTTGTTCCTCCCATTTCAAATTTCATTGAAACTTTTTAATTTTAGCTTTTGGGCAATTACATGTTCTTCAAAGGTACACAACTGTACCTCAAATCCTGTCTTATTTTGCTTCATGCCAGGTCCCGTTATCCATATTAAATCTTTCAGATGGCTGCCTGTTCCTGCCCTTTTAGTTATCATTTGTGAATTGCTACTTGGGCCATAGAAACATGGCTGCCTAAGCAGCCTCAAAGTGAGGTTACAGAGTGGATCATTTTTTATTGTGTTACTGTGAATCCTCTCTTACAAATCTTTCGTATTGGGAAGAAGACCAATACATAGAATGGAAGCAAAAGCTTGTTCCATACATGACTTCCTAATAGCTGGGAGAGCACTTCAACATAGAAAAGCGTTAAAAATACAAGCCTCTCAAAGAGCCCCTCTTTGAGAGAGGTGGGCAGTTTAGAAATATGAAATATAAATAAATCTCTCTCACACACCCTATCTGACATATGCATTCGTGCTACTGCCTTTTGTTCTTGCCTTGTACTTTTGCTTTTCCTTGAAGCTGTTTACGCCCAGATGATTGGATAACACAACATTAAGCAATGAATAAATAATGCAAGGCATAAAGGCAGGAAAGTAGTATGTTAATGCACGTTAAAAAAGCTTTGACAGAGAAAGGGGAAAAAGTGGGTAAATTGATTTCAGCTGGGCTGCCCTAACTTGCTACCTGTCCCCTTCCCCAAATATGGGGTTTTTCCAATTTCCAGTTTTCCAGCCTTGAGTAAGCTTCTTTAAGCTCTGCCTTAGAACCTACTGAACTATCCAAAAACTATATGCAGGCAGCTGAAAAGCAGAGAATCAGTAACATTTTGAATTTGTTTTAATTTATGCAATAGGCAGTGCATACATGGAAAGTAGAGGAGCAAGGCAGCTGTTTTTCAGATGAAGCACAGTGTAATGAGGACTAGCACGCAAGCTTGCAAAGGAACTGCTCATGCCTATGACTCAATGCCATAGGGTTTCCTATTAAACAAGAAGCAATCTTTTACAGAGAGCAATTTATTTCTCATCCAACCATTAAACAACCTGAATGGTTTCTGAGCGCACAAAGTATACGCCTGTAATAACAAATGGCCCTGCAGATCTTGTCAACTTTGTTCATGAACATATATATGTTTCTCAAATCATAGCCTCTGTTGGTTATGCCTGGGGTGTCTCTTTTAAGGAATTGCAGTTGAGAGCTGGTTGTTTTGCCAAATCAGTAGCAAGCGATGTATTTAGCTGTAGGCACAAAATAATGTTCCTACTGCATGGAGCCCTTATTGTGAATACAGCACGCTATTCTATACGCACAATGGTGCATATGCTCTCAACATCCAGAGAATGGCTAGTGGGTCATTGAATAGGATTAGGAGAGCCAGGGTTAGTCTTCTTGAACTTCTAAGAGGACCTCAAACATTAGCTGTTGGTGCTAGAAAACAAACTGGTTAGTCATCGATATTTTAAAACAAGAGGGTGAAAAGACTTTTAGCATAAGGACTGCCCTAGGTTTGCACAACATGTTGAGGATTTGTGGTCAGCAGCCATGTGGTGAATGTAAGTTGCTTTAAACCTTCAGTTGGCCTCTTAACACTTTTCTGGAGGATACTGGAGAATGTTTGGATTAAGATGAGATGAGATAAAATGATAAGATAAAATAAGATAAGATAAGATAAGATAAGATAACCTTTATTGTCATATTTTACTGTGGGCACAACGGCACACATCAGAAATGAAATTTAGTTGCCCGCTCTCAAAGTGAAACACATACATGACACACACCTAAATATACTATGTACAGCATATGTATAGACCCACACCCCTACATATACATAACAAATAAATATTAAATACTGTCCATCTTGAATATATAATGGAAGGAGGAAGCTTGCTGGATTGTTTTGTCGGTGGTTATTTAGTATGTGTTTTACAGGTTGGGTCATTATTGTGTGTTGTACAGCAGTGCCCCCAATCTTTTGGGCACCAGAGTTCCTTGGAGAGAGGTTTTTCCACAGACCAGAAGGGACACGGTTTCTCATGCTGCCTGCATCCTGCAAATGGAGCTTCACTTGTTTGCGTGGCCTGGTTTCTGGCATGCCGTGATCCAGTGCTGGTCCATGGAGAGGAGGTTGGGGACCCCTGTTGTACAGTATATTTTGTTTTATTATGTTGACTGCTGGAACTCCTTGGTGATTATGGTAGTATTTTCTTGTTAAATTTATACTCTCCCTTTCATTCAGTATCTTAATTGACATATACAGGGCTTCTTCCTCATGTTTTTTCCCCACCACAATCATCCTAGTAAGCATATATAAGATGAGCAAGAATGATGGCCCCGAGTCACCCAAATAAGCTTCGTTCGCTGACAATGGATTTGAACCTAGCTGTCCCTATTCCTAGTCCATTCCCTTAACCACTACAGCCATGCTGGCAGTATAGAAATCTCATCGGTCCATGCAATAATAAACCCTTCAATAAAGTTGCTCCTCTCATTCTGGGAAACTCAAAGGGCCACAAAGAGAGGCTGGTTTGCCGTACCTGTACCTTAATAATAAAAAAATAGATTTTAAGCCATGGTGCATAATATGATTCTACTTGGTTATTATTTACAGAACGATGTCTACCTTTCCTCAGTGACGCTATGCTTAATTTATTTCCATGTATCGGGGAATATGTTTCACCTTTTACATAGGTGATCTGCCAAGCTTGTTTGGCTGTTGTCTTATCTAAAGTAATTTGGAAGCTCCTCCAGTCTTCTCTCTCAACTGAGCACAGGCTGTAGAGGAATTTGGAAAGGCCAAAGGCCATGTTTAGATCTATGATTGGCTTGCTGGGAGCTTTGCCCCCCAAAACAACCTGGGTAAGAATTAATTAGGTAGGTATTTTGTGCTCTTGGGAATCATACCCAAGACCTTCAGAGCCTCATAGGGCTCCAGGTTCCCCTGTTGTAAAGGATTATATAAACCTTTTTTTCTTATCCAAAGTAATCTCACTTGTTGTAGAGATAAAAGTGTAATCTAAAATTCTTATTTAATGGCACTAAAGCAATCTTGGAAGCACAGAAAGTGCATTTTTGTAGATAAAGAATTCTCTATTCCTGTATTGCTTCAGCTTTAGTATTTATATTAGCTAATGTCTAAGGTTTGTGTGATGAAGTGTGCAGTTAAAGGAGAATTTGGGGGTAATGTCACTGCCCTGCAGCTTTCCAGGGGATAAGCAGACTATTCCAGAGAGGGTCCAAGACAAGAGACTGCACAGTCCTGAACTGGATGGTGCAGGGGAAGAACAGTTTCAATGTAGTCACACCTTAGACTATAACTCCTGTATTAGCTTAGATAGGGGTCTTCAGACTTGGCCCTTTTATGACTTGTGGACTACAACTCCCAGAATTCCTCAGCTAACGTGCCTGGCTGAGGAATTCTGGGAGTTGAAGTCAACAAGTCAGAAAAGGGCCAAGTTTGAAGACTCCTGGGTTAGATGGTTGTCTTTTTAGTCTGGCAAGATTCTGTCTATTAGGCGTAACCAAATAAGAATCTGGATTTGAGTAGATCTCACTGTGTCATTTTGGGGCTTGGGCCTGACAGTTTTTAATCATCTCTTTTTCCTTTTTAGGTGGCTTTGCTTTTGTTTATGAAGCTCAGGATCTTGGAAGTGGGAAGGATTATGCTTTAAAGGTATTTATCCTTATTTTGGGGGATTTTAATCCTTGACTATTTTTTTTATTCTTGACTTCATTGATGGTGACATTGTGAATAGCAAGTACTGTACAACAGTTAAGAACAAATCAGTTCCAGAGTTGACTACTTATTAGTAAACATAAAATTTGTGGCTTTGCTTCCAAATTCTAAGAATGTGTACTTGATAATCTCTTTGACTATAATTTTAGCAGAGTTGCTTTCAATTAGTATTACTGTGCAGCTATCTCCCCCAATCTGATGCCTTTCATATGCTTTGGAAGTATAACTTCTGGAATGCCAACAAGTATGTGACTTAACATATTGGGAGGGATGTATAGATTGGAGGAGACTATTCATATAATATTTAGCTAATAATCATCTGGCTTCCAATTTACTAACACTATCCGGCAACACCATCTCTGTGTAAAAAGCTTCCATATATATGTTTGGAAACATTTGAGGATTCCTCCTTTCCTATTTTTGACGTTCACTTTTCCTGCAATGTCTCCAGTTATCTATCTGAAGTGAAAGCAATCCCCGTAAAGTAATCAGGAGAGCAAGAATGATCCATAGCATTTCAAGGGAAATACTTATTGTTGTTATTATTGCCTGTCTAGGATGGCATACAGTGAGAATGGCTGTCAATTAATTTCTGCAGCAAACTGGAAAGTAATTAGGGCTGGGAGCGATTGGGTCTACCTCTCTTTATCCAGTACTTTTACCACTTCAGTACTCTAGATCATATAAAATTATACACTGAGGAATGCCCATTGTTAATTTCCATGTGCATATTTTCAAGCTCTGCTTAAAGCACCACACTTACATTGATAAGAAAATCAGTGTTATTGTGTGTGAGTTTTCACAATGCTGCATAAAGTCCAGAAAAGTTGTACTTCCATTTTTCATTGGAACATTAATCCTAAGGAGGAAATGAACCCATCCATTGACCAATTAACATATATCTGCTCTTATGCTTGGTTATCTTGCTCTTCTTTCTTTTTTTGTAATACTTGTCCTAAAAGAGTTTTAGACACATAGAGTGTTGAGGATGATACAAGTACCACATAATAGTCTTGACAGACTAATTCTAAAGACAAGAGGAAATGAAAAAGATTTAGTTATTAATTCCCAAACTTCTAGATCTTTCTCCAGCCTTACTCATTAACTCACTAGTTCAAGCAAATACTTTCTCCGTAACTTTAAAAAAATGCAGATGATTGCTGAATAAATGAAAGCACTTCCTTCTTTCCATGCCTGTGGGATATTTTTTCTCTCAGATGCCAGTTTTACACAAAATCATAGTGGTTTTCCATTTAATACAGCATGATTTTGCAAATAAGAATAAAAATCTTCTAATTGAGTCCTGATGGCATTTCCTTTCGATTTAGAAGAACCCAAAAAATATTTATAACTGTTGTTAAAATAACACTTTTATAATTTGCAAACTATTGACCATGATGAACAGTGAACAGCGTAAATGATATTTGATAATATGACAGCATAGGGTCAGAGGTGCTATTGTAAGGATCAAAATAATAAATATTCCATTCTTCTGTTCTAATTTTGGAACCAAATGTCAAACTAAACTCTGGTTTGAGTAGGAGAGGAAAGCAAGAATACTAAACAAAACTAAGCTCTCAATTATTGGTTTGAGCAGGAGAGAAAAGCAAGAACGTATGTGTTCTCTGTAGCAAAACTAAGCTCTCAATTATTGGCTTGAGCAGGAGAAAACAGGAATGAATACATTCTATGTAGCAAAAAGCAGCTCAATCGTAGTGTGGCGAGCCTGGATTCCTAGCTTAAAGTAACATACCCTATTTAATGTTTATGTATGAAATTTTTTAAAGTACTCAATATATGAGTGTACATAGGTACATATGTACACACAGACACACACAGAGACGACTGTTAACTGTATGTGATTACAGTTAGTCTTTGATTTATGACCAATTGTTCAGGGATCATTCAAAATTATCATGGTGCTGAACAATGGACTTATGACTTGTACTCAAACTTACAGCTGCTGCAGCACCCCTGTGACCATGTGATCACAATTCGAGTGCTTTGTAATCCACCTGCTCTCATGACCAGCTGCAACTGCCCCTACCTACCTATTTTTCCTCCCCATCCCACCTTGCTGGGTGCTTTGGACCTACTTCCCACCTAGCCGGGTACCCAAAGGCCTTGAGCCTGCTTCTTGCTCTGCTGGGTACCACATCCTTAATTCTCCTCCTCTGCCCCGTCACACCATGCTCCATTTACCTCTTCTGAAGATTCTTCTTCCTAGAGAGAATCAGCCAATGCACCATGTGGCCTTCTTATACAGAAGCCACCTTGAGCCACTCTGGAAGTGAGTGCCATTCTGAAAGCTGCAGCAATCCTTGGATCACCTGCTTCCAGGATGGCATGAGGCTCTATGAGAAGGCCATACAGCATATTGGTTGATTTTCTTTTCGAAAGGCGATTTCCAAAGATCATGTTTCTGAAAGACCACCCGGCTGATGTGACACGCATTCTTTTCCATAGGCTGCCTTGTGCCATTCCGGAAATGGATTTCATGTCATCTCTCAGAAGTGTACAGGTTTCCAATCCACATGATTTGGAAAATCACGCCCTCCTGAGAGATCGTGCGAATGGCACTTGCCTCCAGAATGTCTCAAACTAGCCTCTGCAGAAAGGTTGTGTGTCTCATTGGAAAGGTGATCTTTGGAATTGGTCCTTGATTTGCCTACCCTACAATCTTTGTATGACCTGATAACTTGTTTTTTTTTATATAATTATAAGAGAGAGAAGAGTATAATTACTATTGTTTGGAAACAAAACAAACATACAAAAAAAGAGAAAGAAATCAAAATATTCTTTTTTTGTGATCTCTTTATTTTCCTGGCAGAGATTATTGTCCAATGAAGAGGAAAAGAACAAAGCTATCATTCAAGAAGTCTGCTTCATGGTATCCTTTTAGAGACAGGTGAAATGATATTGTGCTTGGACTATCAAATCCTGCTTTAATAAGTAAGGATACAAAAGAGGTTTTTTTGCTCCTTCATCAGAGCAAAACTTTCATTTTATATTTAAACTAGAAACTATCTGAACATCTTCCAAACAATTCAGCATTTGAAACCTGACTTTGCCTGTGGCTTAAATATCAGTTAACTGTTGTGTTCCAGTTAACTGTTGTGCTGTTGATGTGAAAGGAGAAGCAGAGGAGGCATGCACAGCAAAGGAGAGATCAGGTGGTCTAAATGGGATATTTTTGATTAAATATAGGAAAGAGCAAATTTGTTTGAAATTGTAGTTGCTTCAGAGAGCATATCAGCTCTACATGCCTCCTAATCTATGTGAATTATCCTCGTTTGAAACACTTTAGCTTTCTTTTGCCATATTAATCCAGGGTCTTAATAATATTGTTACATCAGAAATGCTTTCCTTTGTCCTTTTCTCTCTCCTGCTTTAAATTATGCATAGAATGTGGTTATGTTCAGCTGACCGTTAAAAGCTGATCCTAATGTTAACTGGATAAGCTCAATATAAGCCATGCTTGACAGCAGGGCAGGCAACAAGCCCAATTGCCACACTTTGCCAGTAGTGGCGGAATGCGGAATTCATTGAGCTTTCAACATCCTGGGCTGGGTCATCACATGTTTTTGACCAGGGTCTCTCGTTCAGAATTTGAATTGCAATCCAACTGAGCAAACTGTAGTTCTGCTGCATGACTGCAAAGAGGTTTTCCCAATAAAGAAGAAACTTTGAAACTTTAACATGTTATTCAGAAAAAACTATCTGGACACCCAAACATTGTCCAGTTCTGTTCTGCTGCCTCCATTGGAAAAGAAGAATCGGATACTGGGCAAGGAGAATTTCTTCTGCTCACGGAACTTTGTAAAGGTAAAGTTGCAATTTTTGTGGAATCACCTTGGATTGACAGCCTAATTCACTGACTCAGCCTGGCTGGCTCTCGTTTCTTAGAACAAAAGCATTTAGTATCAGCAAAGGGTTGCAGGGCTGCTCTGCACTTTGAGCAAGACGTATAGTCTTTGTTATCCAAAATTTGAAACTTAACTCCTCCGTTTTCATTTCTGACCTTCCTGTTTCAAGCAATATTTTAGAAACAGAGTGGAGAAAAACATTATTTTAAATGTAGCAGAGGAACGACTAAGTGACTTTTTCCCACTTTAGGACTCTCAATTAATGTTTTCACTGCAGATTAAAATTTTCTGATTAATTATTTGGTCCGATTAAGATTGAAGAATAAGTTTATCTCAGTATTTGGTCTTCCCTGTTTCCCCTTTGTTCATTAGATTTTTATCCTGTCTTTATTACTTTATAAGTAAATCAAGGTGGCAAGCATACCTAATACTCCTGTGAGATAAGTAGGGGCTAAGACAGAGAGAGTGACTGGCCCAAAGCTTTCATGCCTAAGGTAAAACTAGAACTCAGAGTCTCCTAGATATTAGGCCGGCACCTTCACTACTAACCAAACCTCACAGCACCAAACTTTTCCAAAGGCTGAGTAATGATTGGAGTCTACTTCAGTCCTTGTTTGCAGTCTTAATGTTGTACAAAATGATGATATACTGAAGAAAAGAAGCATGTAGCTGAGGATACATAATGGGAGTCGTATCTCTTTCCAGCAAAATCTCAAGAGCACAGCTGTAGTGTTACTCACATTTTTCTCCTCCCTTTCTAATGATGTGTACAGCAGCATACAATGCGTTTACTTGGCATCCACGCTGAGCACTGTGCTCATCACATAATCGCAGAATGAACACCTGAGCTTCAACTCTTATGTTAGCATATACCAGGGGTAGGCAACCTTGGCTCATTTATGACTCGTGGACTTCAACTCCCAGAATTCCTGAGCCAGCCATGCTGAGGGGAAGGGAGAGGTTTCTAAGCTGAGCCATGCTGGCTCAGGAATTCTGGGAGTTGAAGTCCACGAGTCATAAAAGAGCCAAGGTTGCCTACCCCTGGCATATACCAAGAAAGTAAAGGGATCAGGGGGTATTTATGGGCTTCTGTTGGCTGTCATCAAAATTAGCATCCCTGGTACCTCTTCCATAATGTGTGTGATCCATGGATTTTATGTTCATAGGGCAGCTGGTGGAATTTTTAAAGAAAGTGGAATCTAAAGGCCCCCTCTCATGTGATACGGTTTTGAAGATATTTTATCAGACTTGCCGGGCTGTGCAACATATGCACAAGCAGAAGCCTCCTGTTATTCATAGAGATTTAAAGGTAAGGGATCCAAGTTTTCTTTACTCCTTATGAGATTGAAGCAAGGATGCCATCAGTCAGGATGAGCTTGAATTTGCCTGTAGTAGCCAGAAAAGTGTTATACAGGTAGTCCTTAGTCCTTGATGCATGATCCCAATTGACCCCAAAGTTTCTGTTATTAAGTGAGATATTTGCTAAGTGAATGTTGCTCCATTTTAAGGCCTTTCTTGCCATAGTTGTTAAGTGAATCACTGCAGTTGGTAAATTAGGAGCCCGGTTGTTAAGTGAATCTGGCTTCCCCATTGACTTTGCTTGTCAGAAGGGTGCAAAAGATGATCTCGTGACCTTGGGACACAACAACGGGGATAAGTACGAGCCAGTTGCCAAGCATCTGAATTTCGATCATATGATCATGGGAATGCTGCAAAGGTTGTAACTGTGAAAAATGGTCATAAGTCACTTTTTTTAGTGCCATGGTAAAACTGAACAGTCACTAAATGAACTTATAAGTCGAAGACTACCTGTATAGAAGAGTAAAAACTCTAGGTTGGGTTGTCTGAGAATAAGTTAGAGGAGATTAGGCGAAGTTCACGTTTTGCTAAGAGTTTCCCCAAATGTGGACATCTTTTCATGAGAAACTTTGAAAGAGCTAATATTTAAAAATTTAAAAAAGAGGGGCATAACTGTATATCTGTATCTCAGAACTAAGAAATGGAAACATCTTGAGATTTGGTCATATGTGTACAATTCACTCAGGAAAGAAACAGAGCAGAAGAGGCATGGAGGAGCTGACTACAGATAGCAAATGCCACCATTTTTTTGGAGAGGTTGTGGAGTTCCAAGGGATTTAAGTTGTAATATAAATAATTATACTACCAAGAACAGGTGATCTCATTTGTCCTTCTAGTACCTTCTAGTTCCCAGATTCCCAGACAGTATGACCATTTTCTGGAAGTTATCCTAGCACATCAGCAGAACCAGGCTGGAAAGCCTGCCTGGAAAATAGTTACCAGTATATCTTGTTCGTTACCTTTATATACGGTTGGCCAGGATTGAAGTCAGACCTGGGTTTACTTTTCCCCCTTGATTGGGTAGTGACTAGGTAGAAATCAGTGCTTAAAGTGTTTCACAAAGGTGTAAGTAGTTTTTTAGGAATTTAACTGTGGATTGATGTCAGGTTAAAACATAATGGAATTGTTTAGTGATTATATTATTAAATTGACATAAACATTAAAGAGAATCATAGAACTATGTTGTTCTTTATGTTGCATGGAGGATGAAGAGCATATTCATGTGGCTGAAAAGGTGTCAGGTCTTGAGTCTCATTGCTAAAGCATTTAAAATTATCTTGTTCTCAGTAACTTCCCAAATGCTTTAGAGCATGGTGCTTATGCACAAACACGAACTTAAGATAGAATATTTGAATTCCAAAGCAAGCTATTGAACCTTAGAAAAATGTTTAGTTTCATGAGAGCTTTGATAATCTCGGTGATGTGAGCCTTGGTGATGTGAGCACAGATATGCATAAGCAGAGGCCTTTTTAATGTAAATATGTATAACCTGTCTCTGCAGATTGAAAATATGCTGATAAGTAATCAAGGAACAATTAAATTGTGTGATTTTGGTAGTGCAACAGTTGTGACACATTACCCTGACTATAGCTGGTCTGCACAAAGACGGGCAACTGTTGAAGATGAGGTAAGACATGCAGCACTATATTTTATTTTCAGCATGTTGTGTTCCTTTTTGAAAACATTTAAGGTAAAGATAAAAGTTTCTCCTATCTAGTCGTGTCCAATGCTCATCTCCGTTTCTTAGCCAAGGGAGACAGTGTTGTCTGAAGACATTTCTGTGGTCACGTGGCGAGCATGGCTATATAGAACGCTGTTACCTTCCCACCGAAGGGCTACTTACCGTATATGCCGGCGTACAAGGCGACCCGGCGTATAAGACGACCCCCGTCTTTATTGCCGGGCCGCATTCCTAGAACGTCGTCTTATACGCCGGAAACTACCAGTATTTCCGGCGTATAAGACGACTCGGCGTATAAGACGACCCCCGTCTTTGGCGCCGATTTCAGCGCTCGTGGAAGTCGCCTTATACGCCGGCATTTACGGTATTTATCTACTCGCATTTGCATGCTTTCAAACCAGGTGGGCGCTCACCCCTTGCATGGCATTCAGGTCTTGAACCCGGGCTGTCAGCTTTGCAGCTGACAAGCTCAACGTCATCAACCCCTGAGCCATCGCGCTCCTCATTTGAAAACATTATATTGAAAATAATTCTGAGCTAAAAAAGTTAGTTGCATATCATTTATATAGGAATCTTATTTTTGCTGGTTATATTCATTGGTCTTTTCAAAGAATTTCCAGCATTTAGGTGGCTTGGCTTCAGTTGCTACCGAGTATGGCATTATTTGAATTTCTACTCTCTGGCCATGCTATTACATACTGTGCTTTTTTGTTTCATTAATGCTTGCCTAGCAAAAAAGATGGATATATTCCATTTGAATAAACTCGGTGCCAAAACTCCCATGTTGGGTTTTCAAAATGTATTCCCAGCCAAGCTGCATCTGTTGTTCTCTCTTGTACAGTTCTGCTTCTGAGAACAGCTTTTCAAAGAGTTTGTCTGTTTTTGGCAAAGACTGGCAGAAAAGGAACAGGAAATTGAGGTTAGGAACAGGAGATGCAGAGGGGGAAATCAAAGAGGTTTGGATAGGACTGAATCTCTTTTTCCTTATCGTTAGAGTGTATTCCGCATACTTGTAAAAAACTGCTCAAAAATATAGGAGTGTGTATGGAACTTCTATTTCCCTGCAATACCATCATCTCTTCTTTGATTCTTTAACTGAGCAGTTTGTGAAGAGTCACATGTCCACTTTGATGTAGTAGCTCTCTATTGTCTACAGGGAGAGTTATATAATCCTTTTTCAGCTGAAGACTGTGTGGCTAAAGGTTTGCCCTAGGTCAGGACAAAAGCGAAACAAATTTAACTTACTTGGAGAGATCAAGAACATCAAAATGTACCTCTAGTTTAATTGTGATCTTTTTTGTCTGGGGTATCTGCTATATCACAGAATTATAGCTCTTTCTCAAAAGACTTGACTGCTGCTGACTAAATAACTTTTCTCCAAAGACTACAGGAAAGCTGCTTATTTTGTGAGATGGGTGGCTAGATAAATTAGACAAATAAATAAAATAATTGAGTGTAACTAACTAAAGAATTTCATTATTGTTATCCAAGTAAACTCTTTGGTCTTGCAAATGGATCTGCTTGCTATAAAAGCTAGGATAACTTATGAAAAGACTGAAAATTATATTTGTGGGTTAACTATAAATCTCTTATTTTGTGTGCACAGGTCACAAGGAACACGACACCAATGTATAGAACTCCTGAAATTATAGATTTGTATTCAAACTTTCCAATTGATGAAAAGCAAGATATATGGGTATGCATTTTCTTTCTGCATAGGTAGATTTTGGGGATAGTGATTTGTCCCTATTGATTAGGCTTTCTCATTTATTTAGAGAAGGTCTCTTTCTTCCATTCTCTGATAGAGTCCACCAGGTAGCTGATACTAATCTGTTACACTGTATTGACACCATTCAGCGCAGATGTTAAAACTGAAATAAAGAGCTGCAAAATCTAAAATTAGCATCTCAAAAAAAAAGCGTCTAATGGTGTGATGAAAATAACTTGGGTAAAATCTCAGGAAAATAGGAAAGCAGTAAAATACCCTTAGAAATAGCAATATTCCAAGCAGACCTCTCAGTTCTGTTCCTATAAGACTTATTCTGCGGTCTTAGTGCTCATCCTCAATGAAGCTGCTTAACCTTTCCTAAGGTTTTGCACAGATCAGAAACAGGACATTTTCTACCTGGAGCTTAAACTCTGAATGATATGACACAGAAGGAAAAAGAGATAGGGAGGGAGAAGGAAAAGGAAAACAAGCTCAGCATTGCTTTTAAAGGTAATTGAATGGAAGGGAGCACTCACAGTTCTAACTCAGTAGAATGGGCCATGCCAAGTTGTGTTTGCTTCTGCTTTCTAATTTTTCTAGAACTGATTTGTGATAATTACAACAATCAATGAAAGCCCATATAGGTCATTGTGGGATCAGACCCAGTGGCTGTCTTTCAGAATAACAGAGTTGGAAGAAGCCTCGGAGGTCTTTCTTCCTGCTCAGGCAGGACACCCTATATCATTTCAGACAAATGGTTGTCCAGTCTCTTCTTAAAAACCTCCAATGTTGGAGCATTCACAGCTTCTGGACGCAGGTTGTTCCACTGATTAATTGTTCTAACTGTCAGGAAATTTCTCCTTAGTTCTAGGTTGCTTCTCTCCTTGCTTAGTTGCCATCGGTTGCTTCTTGTCCTGCCTTCAGGCACTTTGGAGAATAGATTAGATTGACTCCCTCTTTTTCTGGCAGTCCCTGAGATATTGGTACACTGCTATCCTGTCACCCCTAGTCCTTCTTTTCATTAAACTAGACAATTCGGTATATTTCAAGTATATTTCAATTTCAAGTATATCTCTCTTATGCTCCAAGTAAGATGTTTAATTAAAAACTCCTTAGGAAGCACCAACGTGAAATTGTGAAGACAAGGAAAATGCAAGGGTGAATCTAAGGGTGACAAGATTTTTTCTTAGGGTCAGCTGAACATATTCCGATAGAAGAGAATATATGTATTCCGTGAAAAGATTCTATAAGCAAAACCTTATTCAACCGTATCACATAACTATACACAAAAAGACTACCTCACATTATAAAGTTCCTCTCACAGCTACCCCAATAGCTTCTTTTTGATGATCCGAGGCCACGAAGAAAGGGGTCTGAAAAAATCTGAAAACACAAGAAGCAGAGGATAAAAAGAAGGGCCCTTCCATGCTTTGGCTCCTTTGATAGTCCATTTCCTCTGTAGGCTTTAACAATTGCCTGTAAAACACAACTGTCCCATTAGTTGACTTAAGTCTTTCAAAAGACTCCAAAACATAGCAACCTTTTAGAAAGCAGTATCCTATTTTTAGGCACCTGTTGGATAATCATGCTGGTTGATGAAGCATTCAAATCTCTTATCAGATGCTGAATTGTCTGTCAAATCAGCTCAAAATCTGAAACGATAACAACTTAAAAGGAAGGATAGTCATTGTTACAACTGAATTGGCTAAGCCAGGGGTCTTCAAACCTGGCCCTTTTATGATTTGTGGACTTCAATTCCCAGAATTCCTCAGCCAGGCATGCCTGGCTGAGGAATTCTGGGAATTGAAGTCCACAAGTCATAAAAGGGCCAAGTTTGAAGACCTCTGGGCTAAGACTTGAATGATTTAGTCTTGTTCATTTTCTTTTTGTAAACCCTTTGTTATTTCCATGCAGGCCTTGGGTTGCATCCTCTACTTGTTGTGCTTTATGCAACACCCATTTGAAGATGGAGCGAAGCTTCGAATAGTCAATGGAAAATACTCCATCCCACAGAACGACACAAAATATACTGTGTTTCATGATCTTATACGTAAGTTTCAGACGATGGTACCAAACACCTGGAGAGGCAGCACGAAAAGCAGGGGAGCTGATGATTTTGTAGAGAATAATAATAATAATAATAGTAAAGTTGGAAGGGACCTTGGAGGTCATCTAGTCCAACCCCCTTTATGATTTCCTTTTAAGCTCACAAATGCATTAGGATTCTATACCTACAAGTGTAGGTGAAAAGCCTGTCTGCATCCGCTATTTCAACCTGCTACTTGACAAAGTGTTGGACACACATTTATTCATCATTCCTGCTTCTCAGTGTCCATGCTAGAGAGCAGTAATGAGAGCCATTACAAGTACAACCCATTTGAAGAGGATAGACTAGGACAGTGATGGCGAATCTTTTAGAGACCGAGTGCCCAAACTGCAACCCAAAAGCCACTTATGTATCGTTGGGTGCCGGGTGGCCATGGCCCATTGGGTGGATGTGGCCAGTTGGATGGGTGTGGTCCATTGTGTGGGAGTGGCTGCGGTGTTAACGGCAGACTGGGTGGGACTAAAAAGTTCAATCAATCAATTGTAACTTTGCGAGATCTTCCCCCCCCCCGCAAGAAGTTGAAATTGATTGATTGATTGAATCTTTTTTTTTTTTTTGCACACGGCGGTGGAGGCTTAAAGCGAAAAGGTTTTAGAAAACCCAGCTGAAGGCCTAGGACTGGGGTGACGGCGTGTGTGCCCACAGAGAGGCCTCTGTGTGCCACCTGTGACACACGTGCCATAGGTTCGTCACCACAGGACTAGGAAGAGCTGGCCTACTCTTAATTCAGGAAGAAGACTGGTACATGCAAAAAGATGGTCTTTTTTATTTTTTTAGTATAATTTAAATGTGTGGCTTCATTTTAGCTACTTCCTACTGCTGGCATTTCAGAGTTACATCATAGCAACGATCACAGGTCCTGTTGGCAAACTTTTAACATACACCGATCTTTTCCTTGCATTGTTTTTAGGTTCTTCTTTGAGGGTGAATCCAGAAGAGAGACTGTCCATTACTGAGCTTGTCAATCAGCTGCAGGAGATTGCAGCTGCTAGAAATGTGAATCCAAAGTCCCCTATCACAGAGGTAATAGATCCAGTTTGAAACCAGTTCTCAGCTAGGTGGCAACACTTAGTCTGTCTTTACTGAACTAAAAACACAGGGTAGATTTGGACTTGGTTAATAGTCAGATGGTAGAATCCCAGGGACCCCAGAAATGTAGATGAGATTAGGAAGAAAACATTATCAAACCACTCTTTTATTTCTTCCAGGAAAATGTCATGCATGTGTCGATGAAGTCATCAGGAATTTAACTTAAGGATGTTTAGCTTTTGTAAAAGTCTCTGGTGGTGGCAGCAGCCATGTTTTTAAACTGGGCAGCACCCCCCCTTTTTTTTAACCCCCCCCCATCTGCAGGAAAAGGAGCAAGGGAATAACATGACATTGTCCTTGGATGGGACAGAAACAGTGGCCAGCTTTGGGCATTATTGGGAGGATTGCAAAATGTTGAGTATTGATGATGTCATTTTAGAGGGCTTTGGGGAACTGAAGAAAAGAGAAATACTATGATTAGCTTTTGGGAATGGGAATTGCATAATTCCTCCCCAAATTATCCTTTCATTCTGTTCTCTTTCTGCTCCTCCAGGCTAAAATTCCAAAGGTGAAGGAAAAAAAGAAAGTTGATGGTGATAATAGAGCAGACTATATAAGCCAGTCCTCCATTTTTAATAATTTGGCTTAGTGTTTTTTTCATATTAATTAGATTATTGCCTCTTGAATGCTTTATTTAGAGCTTTATATTAAAATCAAAATTTGCAGTGATCCTTGTATTCTATTTTTACAATCAACAAAACGTATTTAAAGGGACTCAATATTACCTTTTTAGTGCAGATGGGCTGTGGGTGGGGAGGAGTGGGAGTTTATTTATGTTCACTCCTGCTATGATGCTTTTTTTCCAGCTTCTTGAACAAAATGGGGGCTACGGGAATTATGCTCAGCCTAAGACATCTTCAGCATTGGTGCCACAGAACTCAAAACCTGCTGGTCAGCTTAACAATATATATAATGCAGGTATGATGCTTAATGGAATTTTCTTTGTGTACTGTCCAATTCTTACTGTTTCTTTTAACATTTCTGGCATCTTTCTTATGTGGCCTTTCTTACAGTATTTGACAGTCTCAATTCTTATTTATTTTAACATTGCTACTAAACTTTTAAGTTTAGACTTTAAAAAGTTTCCCCAAATTCAGAAGTCCTGGTAAGAAATAATAGTAATCAAGCTTTGAACAGACTCATGAATTCCTTACCTTCTCATATTGATAACATCATATTTACAGTTAAGTTGTTAGATTAGGAGACCCATTTCATAATTTATTCTCAGCCATGGATGTTGACTGGGTAATTTTGGGCCGGCTGCTTTCTCACACCCTGAACTCCTCCCAAGAGAAAAAAGGAAGGGGAAGCATTATGGGTCCCACCTTGAGTTTCTGAAGGAAAGTGAGATATAAATATAACAAACTTCTAGGCTTGGAGTAAATCATGGAATCATAACAAACCACAGTAGCTTGGAATGTTGGAGTAAAGGGGGGAAAAGTGATTTTGTCTCATGTAGAAAATTCAGTCTGATTCCTTCATCCTTCTCTGAAGAAGAGGTAAAAATCATATGTAAGTTTTTGAATATTTGTTGACAGTATGAATTTGAGAAATCTAGAACACAAACTCTGTTAAAAAGGAAAGAAAAGCCCTGAATTGCATGTTTCCTGACTTGTAAGCAAAATATAGGAACTTTAGACTCGTTTTTATGTATTTGTACCCTAATGCAGTAGCCCCCAACCTTTTGGGTGCCAGGGACCAGTTCTGTGGAGAGAGGTTTTTCCACAGACCGGAGGGCACATGGTTTTGTGCACCGCCTGCATCCCGCACATGTACAGATGGGGCTTCACGGATTTTCATACACCAGTTTCTGGCACCCCATGGACCAGTGCCTGTCTGTGACCTGGGATTGGGGCCCCCTGCCCTAATAGACCTTCAGGATAATTACAATATAATTACAATTAGGAATATATTAATTATACTAGTAATATTTGGCCACATTTTACGTAGTGTTACCATTGATTAGGAGTTTATTCTTCTATGTCTTTACACTCTTTGCATGGAAGAGATGATATGCATACATAAACATCAGAGCATCTTAGAAAAAAAGAAATGTATGTGTGAATTTGTGACTTATAGTTACTTCATTGGATCAGATGACTAATAACACAGATTAGCTAAATAGAACACCCAGTATTGGCACTGGAGTCTATTTATTGCAGCTAATAGGTTTGCATAACTCTGTTTGCTTCAGAATGCGGTGACTGTCTTAGAAGAGGGACCGTTCGCTGCTTTTTTGTTGAATTACTGTAGTTGGCTGCTCTTCTTTGTGTAAAAAAATATTGCCTTAATTAAAAGACACAGACTGGGGTAATATAAATAAAGACAGCAGCTAAAGTGCCCTGCTGAATTTGTTTTTAAATGGAAATACAATTTAATGCCATTTCTAATGAAAATGTAAGTCTGTTTAGAGGAGAGAATAATGGTGATTGCCTGCTTTAGGTTATAATACTGTATTTTTGGCTTTTAGGGCTAATAGTGGCAGAATGTGACCAGTCTTCTAGTGGGTTCTTTGATATACTTCGAGGTGGGACCGAAAGATTTTTCACGAATATCAAGGATACATCTTCAAAAGTTATTCAGTCTGTAGCCAAGTAAGTAGAAATGTGGCTGTATTGATATTTCCATTCACTGTATTACAGTTCTTAGTGCAAAGGGCATTTTATGTGGTACCATTATTTTCCTTTTGGAGTTTTTACTTTACAAGTTACAACCCATTTACAGTCTTGTGGACAGGAAGACTAGGAATTCTACTAAGATCAAATGACAAATCTTTGGTCTGAACAGAGATATAATACAATATATTTTATTAATTAATTCTTTTTCAGAGAAAATGTTACTCTACCTGGGAATGTTCAAAGATCGCTTGTCAAATGAGTAAAAAGTACTTATAAGTATGCCTGATTGCGAGAATAGAATTGTTCCTTAATCAGATTAAGTGTCAGAAATATTGATATTGGGGGAAAATGGAATTCCAAATCTGAGAAATCATACAGCCAGAATGACCCTTATTCACTAAAGAAAAAATAATAATATAGTAAAGTTCTAAGAGTCAGGTCTCATATACAAACTAATTTTATTTGTTTACTTTTATTTATTTGTGGTCCAATACCAAGACAATACATTTTAAAGTACAGTATGCCACTAAATTCAAGTCCTATAGATAATTTATTGTATAGATTGTATTCAGTATTCAAATTGTTTGCAAATTTGCTTATAATTACTTTTTACTCATTTGACAGACAATCTTTGAACATTCCTAAGTACAGCAACATTTTCTCTGAAAAAGAATTCATTAATAAAATATATTGTAATTGGTCTACGGGGCCTGATTTTTTGGACATCCTGTATATATGTGTATATACATATGTATGGTTTGCCCATTAATACAGTGACCATAGTTTCTTGATTATTTTTTAAGAAAGTATTTATTTATATCCCTCCTGTATTATTTTTACATTATTTTAGGCAGTGAACATATTCAACTTACCTTCCTCCTCTTATTTTCTACACAACAGCAACCCTGCGAGGTGGGTTGGGCGGAGAGACAATAACCGGCCCAAGGTCACCCAGCTGGCTTTCATGGTTAAGACAAGATTTGAACTTATGGTCTCCTGCTTTCTAGCCTATTGCCTTAACCACTAGACCAGAGGTCTCCAACCTTGTGGGCACCAGGGACTGGTTCCGTGGAGAGAGATTTTTCCACAGACCGGAGGGTGCGTGGTTTTTTGTGCTGCCAGCATCCCACGGATGAGACTTGGCTTGTTTATGCAGACCGGTTGCTGGCATGCTATGGCCCGGTACTGGTCCACGGCCCAGGGTTGGGGACCCCTGCACTAGACCAAGCTGGCTTAAGTGAAGGACAAACCTGAAAAAGAGACAAATCAGAAAAAGGGTGGTAAGGATTTTAAAAAAAAAAAGTTTGTGTTTGGCTTTACATAGAAAATTTCAAGAGCAAAAGCAAGAAAATAAATAATTAAATTAAATAAATCTTTAAGGGCAACTTTCTGAAATAGAGACCTACCCTTTATAACAAAGGGCAGGTAGCCACTGTACCTATCAGCCACTGTAACATTTCTGTATTGTTCTTCCAGTAGTTCGGCAGTAGGCTACTGAAAGAAAGTGGTAACTTTAAATTATTGCTAGGAAAACCCAGGAATGTTAGATCTTGAAGCAGAATTGCCATTGTGAATGTTTCAAGTGTGGCATTTCCTCTGAACAGTTTTTAAAAAAACAAGAAAATAAGCCTAAATCCAGTCCCCCAAAATCGATAAGTTTTAGATCAGACATGTCAAACTTGCGATGTCACATGATGTCATGTATTGGAACTTTTTCCCCATTGCCGGCAATGGGGTGGGCGCGGTTTCCTTCTGATGTGTCCGGCCTGCTTGCTGGCAGTTTGACACCCCTGTTTTAAATTGAGGAAAAGATTCGTTAAAAATGCCAATATTTTGGCAACAAAATCTTAGCATGGTCAGGTTACTGTCCCAAAATTTCATAATCTGCAAAAAATAAAACACCTTTTCTTGTATATTATATTACTTATTTCCAACTATAGTGGAATGCTTTTTTAAAATGATTTCTAGTGTTTCAGTTGTTTTTACTGCATATTATACTGTCATTTTGGGATTATCCTTAATGCTTAGACTTTAAACTAGTACACCTAATTTACACATGAAAAACAACTAGAATCCCAGTCAAATTATTCCCTTGTGGATACTGCATTGCATATTACATCACCAATGGTGTGTTCAAGGTGGCAGGAATATGAGGAATCATAGCTGAGAATTTCTAAAAACAGGGCTGTCAAGCTAGCTGGCTTTTCAGTTAGAATCATTTCCCAGCCACTAAAGCTATAGAATCATACTGTAAGGCTCAAAATAACATCGCTAATGGTCTCAAACACTCATTTATTGATTCACTGAAGCTATGCTTCGGCCTCTAATCTAGTTTTGAATCTAGCTCACATATTAGATAAGACAGTAGTAACCATTCAAGGCTTGCTCTGTTCTGTGTCGCCTTAGCAACTCATAGTTTCTAAATCATCTGAGGTTGTGTAGATCATTTCATTTTTTCTTTCAGTTATTGTCTGAGAAGAAGCGTGGGAGGGGAACAGAGAGTTCAGAGTGACCCATGTGATGTTAGTTTTCAAAAAATGCCAAGATGGGATGAGGAGTAATGAGATGGATTTGCATTTTTTTAAAGGCCTGCAGCATTAAGCTGCCTTACTAACATGAGAAGCCCTGTTTTTTTGCTTTTGTTTTATGGCAGTAATTTTTGAATACAATATCTGGTGTACGAGTGAAATGGAATTAATTGAATCTGTGGTTGTATTAGTCTATTTTCTTCTAAAGCAGAGAAGGATTTATTTTTGGTTACATACAGTTTTATATCTGCTCTACACCAGGATTTTCATGGTGGGGGGGTAGGTGAATTGGGCACATTTGAGAATTTGAACCCCTGTAATGGTTGTCATGCTAAATCTGGCCGATCACAGAAACCCTTATATGACAGAACATAAACAAATCCCAGGATTGCAAATACTTGCTATTTTATTTTCTAAATTTGATCAAAGGAACTGTAGGTTATGTTTATAGTGATTGGCTTTGCTACATTCTATTTTCCCCATTCGTTTTTTTTTTAAACTGCAAGAATATTTTTTAAAAAATAGGGCAAGGAACTGGACAAAATGCTGGACAAGCTATACAGAAGATGGCACTCTGTCACATTGGGACTTAGGTTTTAGACCAAAGTTTCCGTGATCTCCAGATCATTGATGCCCCTGCAGATAATTCAATGAGGGAAGATGATATTCTAATAACAAATCTTGAGTGCCAGCTTTTCTGTAATATTCAGTGTTGTTGTTGTTGCTGTTGTTATTTGAAGTTATAATTGCTTTACAAATATCTCTTGTACTATGCTGCATTCTGTGTACTGAAATATTGTTGCCTGGTTTGACTTCAGCATGAATCAATTCCTCTTTGCACATTTGAAGGGCAGAGAGCAATGGTTATTACTTCATTGCTCAAGAGAAAAGGTTTGTTTATATAGGCTCTGAAGAAGGTCTTGATGCTAAGTGTAATGATCTGCTTAAAAGAAAAGGATGGGAACTTCTGTTCTTTGGATAGCAGCAAAGAAATCTATAACAGTTTTTCCAGTTTTATCGATCTTCATATGGTTTTTACTTTCAATGTACTGCAAACTTGGAATGAAATAAAATAACTTACTTGGTTACCCTGAAGGTTAAAGTAAGTACCCATCTTAGGATCAGAGAGCTTTATGGACTTTTTTTTTTTTTTTTTTTGAATCTTAGGTAGTCCAGTATGTGACTGGTACCTTTGAAGGATAACTACTCTATTGAAGAGATCAGTGGGGAAAAAGAGGCACAGTCCTCCATCTGAGTGTTAATCCATAGAACAGTTTTCACATACTTCACAGTCTTCATGCGTTTTATGCAAGGAAGAAATAGCCAGTTAGACTGGAAAAAGAACATACTTCTTCCTCTGCTGTTTAGCAGCCTAACTTGATGAAAAGTTTATGAGACTGTTTAAGTATTTAGCTAGCAGTAAATGAAACTGATTTATAGGGAGATTCAGATCTAGTATTCTGGAGGGATTATGACATCAGATTAGACTAACCAATCGTAAATCATTTAACCCACATACTGTTCCACGATGTCATTCTGTTGCTGGCATGGAACCAAGACAATGGGTTCAGTGTCACTGAGATTTCAAATAGCTCACTTAGGTTTTTGCCAGTCACTCAGTCCTTGAATGATAGCAGCTATATACTGTCAGAGGGAATTCTCACTGGGATGGACTGGAATTGTTTCTTTCAAGCGGGGTCTTTCCTGGGCAAGGTGAAGGACCTCAGGAGATACCTTGTCATATTTCATGGGTTGAGCTTCTGAGCTTTTACATTATTGGCATTTGGGTAGCGACAGTGGGAAAAAAAATTGACCTCCCACTTTAGGAAAAAAAAAAAATCTTACATTTACTACCAGTACTGTATTTTAGTTAGTGCTTCATGGTTTGAGCCACAGGATAAGATTTGATGGTGCAACAACTCAAAAGCGATTGATCCTTCAATATTAACAACCTAATTTCACTCCAATATAGGGAAATTAATTCTTACAAAAAAACTAGGAAACACAATCAAGGATTTTACTAAAGTGGACACAATGATCATGTTAGTTTCTTTATTGCTCTCATGAGGATATATGTGCATGGGTATCCTAATACAGTAATGTTATTTCCACTCTTATAGGGTATCTTTTATGTTTATTCAGGATCCAGAGAGTCACATATTATCTCTATATATCCAGCAGAATTAGTGTTCTGTGCTTTCTTAATGACTGTTCGATTATATAATATAGCAAAGTCTGTCCACTTGCGTATTATATATTAACTTATATTTTGAATCCCTAAATGGGCTTCTCTGAAAATAATTTGATTTCTTAGGTAATGGTCAGATGTTTTGGAACATTTGCTGGCTGGAAAATCCATAAGTAGTACTCTTAACATAACTTGAAAGCTTCAGGCCAAAGAAGGCTGCGGTATATAATGAGAGATAACATAAATTATTAGATTGGAGTAGTTTTTTGTATCTTGTGAACATTTATAACTTGACCCAGCATTCTTAGCTGGAAATAAGCAACATTTTAATTGGTAGAAATTACAAATAAACAAATGAAAAATTACTGTATCTCTCGGAATATATCACGGAAACACAAGTGCATCCGTCTGGCATAAACAATATTTGTGAAAAGAGTCACTTACGTTTGGAAAGAGTTGTCAGTATTGGCTCTCACCCACATCGATGGTTCTTGTTATTCATAATGGTATCCATCCAATTTAATGTGGGCTAAAGCATTTGGGGCTAGGAAAAACAAAAGCAAAATTTGATTTGTAAAGTTCAGTTTTTTTCCCATCTTTACTTTGGTTTTTTTGGGTGACTTCTGTTTTGTTGTGTTTTACTTTTGGATTTTGTGTGTGATGCTTCTTTCCTTATCCATTTTTCCCCATTGCTTTTCGTCATTCCATACTCATGTTCCTTAGCAGCCCAAGGTAAATATTTCTTCATTACATTAGTATTTGTACTGTGTGTGCATGCTAGCAGCCATTATGAAACTCCAAAAAGATTTCTGAACTCTCAGGTTTTATCTGTGCCTTGTGATCTCTGCTCATTGTTTTAGCACATGCATGTATGTAGACCTATAACCTTATGAATTAAGACATTGTCATTATGTTCTCAGTTACATTTATAGTTACTATCATATTCTTGGTACATGTATAACTTTAGAGTTTTAGAGTTTTTTTTCATTAGCCCACTAAATTGCCATATCTTGTATTCCTGGCTGCTTTTTTTCTCCTCCAGTAGGGACACATATAGTAGGAAGCAGATTACTGTGAAGTATTGTCAATGAAATCCTTGATTTCTGTGTTATTTTTAGGACTTGAAAGAATGGGGCTATATTTTTAGGGCTGTGTGTAGCCAGATAAAATAACCTCTGTGAACCATGTTAAATTGAATTAACCTTCAGAAAAATCATTTTCTGAAAGGCATAATTCCGGTAAACGTATTGCAACAACTAAATTGAAATGTGCACACACTATGTAATGATCTCTGTATGGATTGTTACATGTTCAAATCTCCACAAAATTGGAAAAAAAAGTTGTTGCAAACACTAAAGGTTAGATAAAAATGGCTCCTTATATAAAACTCTGGCTCTGGTATCCAGGCCCCATGAAAAAATTAAGCTACTGTATAAATATCAAAACTCCTATTTAAATTACCATATCTTTGTTACGTAGGATAGAGAAGGGCAATTGATACCCCAAAGGGCTTGCTGGGTTCTTGCCCGATTTTGCACATAGTTCTACTTAGACCAGTGGTTCTCAACCTTTTTAATGCCGCGATCCCCAACTGGTCGTAAGTCGAGGACTACTCAACCGGTCGTAAGTCGAGGACTACTCAACTGGTGCAGCACCGTTTACAGAATGGGACTTTTGGCGGGCTCAGTAGGGCAGAGACAGCCTGGACAATTCCTATTGGCTTTTGAAGCCAATAGAATTAAACTCTATTCAAGAGAGTCTATTCTATTGGCTTTCAAAAGCCAATAGAATAAAAGGGAGTAGCACAGCTAAGGAAAAGGGGAAAAAAATGGTGGACTACGTTGTTTGGCGACTCCCGTGAAATGGTCATTCGATCCCAAATGGGGTCCCGACCCACAGGTTGAGAACCACTGACTTAGACCAAACTAAGAATCCACTGACTTGGACAAATGTGATTTGTTAGGTGGCCTGCCAAAATTGGTCAATTATTGAGATTATTAGCATCTCAAAAGGTGCTAATTAAGATTCTGTAGGCCTAGGCCCGCCTACCAGCTCCTTCCTAATAGTTTCAATTGCAGTGCCCATAAGTTCCAGACATTCCCTCTATCCTTCACCTATATAGTCCATCGTTCAGGAAGAATTTTGCTCAATTCATAGCTTTGCTGTGAAGCAAATTGGCAAGGGAGATCAAGTCTCAGTTGATAGTTGATTAAGGAATAATAGTGAATAATTGATTAAAGGAAGAGAGAAATCCTGAGCATTAATGTGGAAGGTAGACTTCAAAGCTGGTTAAAGGATTTGTCACTTTTGTGTGTGAATGTGGGTGTTTTGTTTAACTTCTCTAGCTTACTAAATCTGTTTTTCAACTCTAAAAATGCCATCCTCTAAGGAAGCTTAAAACAATCTGTGCCGACTTAAATTAACTTTCTTTCTGCATAATACTAGCTCACTATTTGAGATTGATTCACCATTATGTCACACTGCATAATTGATCATTATTTTGTAGACCATTAAAGCTAATCTGTGTATTTTATGGCCTAATACATTCACTACAGGTAGTTCTCAACTTATGACCACAATTAAGCCCAAAATTTCCATTGCTAAGCGAGACAGTTAGGTGAGTTTTAACCCATTTTATGACCTTTATTGCCACAGTTGTTAAGTGAATCGCTGCAGCCAAGTTAGTAACACGGTTGTTAAGTGAATCTGGCTTCCCCATTAACTTTGCTTGTCAGAAGGTCGCAAAAGGGGATCACATGGCCCCCGGGATGCTGCGACCGTCTTAATACATGCCAGTTGCCAAGCACCTGAATTTTGATCACATGGCTATTGGGATATTGCAGTGGTCGTAAGTGTGAAAAACAGTCATAAGTCACTTTTTTCAGTGCCATTGTAACTTCAAACAGTCACTAAATGAAAGATTGTAAGTTGAGAACTACTATACTATTCTACTTCTGCCTCCTGTTCCTCCTCCTTCCCTCTGTAGCCATTTAGTGTCATTTGTGTACAGTACAAAAGAGAGTGGAGGATTGAAACCTCTGTACCTGTTGTATCTTGAAGGACTTTTTGCAGTTGATGTAATAACAAAGGAGCCTATTAATTTCGCGGAGCATTGATACAATCTAGGACAGTGGTGACAAACCTATGGCACGAGTGGAGCCCTCTCTGTGGGCACACATGCCATCGCCCCAGCTCCACCTCACCCCACAGCCCCTTCCTCATCAGCAGCCCCCCCCCAGAGGAGAGTCACCCCCGGGTGCGGCCCGGACAGAGCAGCGCAGTCAAACACATGGCAGCTGTGCAGCAGATGATGCTGCAGGGTGCGGGCAGAGGCGTGGCCACCATGGCACTGCAGGGCCACCTGGGCGATCTGCGGCGGGCCGTGGATGGCCCTGAGAGCGGGCAGGGTGAGGGTGGAGCAGGGCGGGGGTGGTCAGGTGGAACGGGGGCAGGCTGGGGGCGGGGCGATTTTGGGCACTCGATCTCTAAAAGGTTCGCCATCACTGATCTAGGAAGAGGAAACCTGTGGACCCCCCCCGGATGTTACCAAACTATAATTCCCAGCATACCTCACCACTGGGCATGCTGTAAGAATACAGATATACTTATAGTTACCAATAGCTGGACAGATGCCGATTTCTCCCAAAGAGAATATTTCCCCCGCCCCCTGCTTGAAAAAAGTAAATTTTATAAGGCCTATTATCTAAGGCAATGATCAGAATCCTTCAATTTTGAGATAATTGTTTTTTCTCGAAAGCTGAGAATCCTTTAATAATGGTTCAGACATTTAAGCTGCCATATACAATATGTATTAACCAGTGTTATTCTAGACTCTTTAGTCTATCTCCCATAGTTCAGATATTTGAGAATCCCATTTGTGACCATCTCTTGGGGATAGGGAGAACAGGTGGTGGTCTTGTTTAATGAATAAAAAGCTAGTAGAATCTGATAAGCCACTTGAAAATAATCTATTGAACCGACACACATTCTGACTTTTAACTTGAGTTCTTTAATATATATTTCAGTTATGCAAAAGGAGATTTGGATCTATCATACATTACATCCAGAATTGCTGGTATGATTAATTTTTTTTTATTAAACATGGTTTCCTTTAAGAGCAGATTAAATATATTGAGTTCAACCCTGACTGTTTCTTTTTGCTTTCTCCCTTTGTTCTCTAGTGATGTCATTTCCAGCAGAAGGTGTTGAGTCTGCTATAAAAAATAATATAGAAGATGTGCGGCTGTTCTTGGACTCAAAACATCCTGGACGCTATGCTGTCTACAATCTGTCTCCAAGATCATATCGGCCCTCCAGATTTCACAATAGGGTTTGTAAAGTAGTATTACTTTCCTCCATCATGTTTGGTACATGGCAATATTGCCCATCTCATGATACATCTTCCTTATCTTGGTATGAAAATAGTAAGAGAGCATCTACAGCAGGGGTGTCGAACTCACAATGTCACATGACGTGTCACAACATATCGTGATTTTTTTTTCCATTGCTGGCAATGGGGTGGGCGCAGTTTCAGCATGACGCATCTGGCCTGCGGTCCGGCAGTTTGACATCCCTGGTCTATAGTGTCAAAGAAAAGTTTTCAAGCAGACATCCAACCATCATCAAAGCTCAAACTTTTTTTTTTTTTTTTTTAGCCTGAAGGTTTCATTCAATCATCTTCTTCAAGGAGAAGAAGAGATTGCCGGTAAAATGGAGGGGGAAGGAATCAAAAGAAGAAAGGAATATTTCATAAACTAAATATATAAATAGACAGGAAGGAGAGTGGATGTGGTAGTTCCTGCTAGATGTTTCCAGAAGATCTATTGAGCAGGATATGAAATTATTTACAGACAAAATAACACATACTCTCACATACACCTTTGCCTCTGCTAGTAGCATTTCTTAAGAAAGAAATAACCTGTTGAAAGAATTTGTGTGTGTTTGTATTCTGCCAGCTTTAATAATTTGAAATGAAGAGAAAGACCATTCAAAAACGTTAGCAAATCTGTTTCCAAATATTAATGGGTTTGGTTTTGTTTAACTTACCCATAAGTTCTAAGTGCATATCATTTTATATATGCATCTTAATTCTGAACTGCCATCGCTTCCAAGCTATTTCAGTACCATTCTATGCTGCTAAATTTTAGGGAAAAACGAAACTCTGTGGGCTGCCTCAAAGCCTTGGGGTGGAGAGGAGGAATCACACATAAGCTGTGAGTTTCCCCCATTATTGGACAAGCTCTTATAACATTGAAACTTGCTGCTAGAAAATGCAATGCCCTTGTAGAGTTTTTCCAGGTTCCCAGAAAGCAGTCTCTGAATTAGGGATATGCAAAATATTCCCTTTCAGAGACAAAACCTTCCAAAGAACACTCAAGACAGTCTGTTCCTCCTCCAGACCTTGCTGATCTAACTCTTCTGGAGGTGATCTGGAGGTTTTCTGGAAGTAAACATTTCAGATATGATTTACACAACCCAAACCATCATATTCCAGGAATCCATAAGAGGAAGTGCGTTGCCATCATATCCTGTTTACAAATTCCCAATTGGCTACCAGCCCTGTAATGGACTGGACAACCTTGCAGTAGTGCTGTTTCTGCCTTGTTACCATGAAAGATCTGTGAAGCTTCAGAATGTGACCAGTTTCAGTGTCTGAAAATAGGAGCAGCACTGTAAACAAATCAATTAATCTAAAGGAGATTTCAAAAAAGCCAATTTTTAGTATGGCAGGCTAACGATATTAAAAAATAATAAGTTTCAGGAGAACTAGATAAAGCTAGCTTACTGTCTTTTAAAACTATGTCCTAAAGAGCCTAGAATGATTCTCTTCCTGTGCTTTTGCAGACGCAATTAATATCCTTGCAATATCTTTATTTTTTTTACCCCCTTTAAACCTTTCATTCAGAGGGTTCCCAAAAGGTGAACAAGGGACACAATGCACAATTTGTTATGGGAAAAACAGGTACCGTTGGCACCAATTTAGCATCGTTGTTTCCAGGAAAAGAAAGGGTTTGATCGCTTCTGTGGGATAGGTTAAGTTGAAAACTTGGCATTATTTTTTTAAATTGTGATAATAGTTGGCAGTATATTCGTTTTAGTAAATCAAAGTGTTCCCTTAACAGGTATCTGAATGTGGTTGGCCGGCTAGGCGTACGCCAAACCTTCAAAACCTTTACAGCATCTGTAAGAACATGCATTTGTGGCTGAAGCAAGATCCAAAGAATGTTTGCATTGTGCATTGCCTTGTAAGTAAGGAATCACGTGATCTCCTTTTGTCACCTTCTGACAAGCAAAATCAAATGGGGAAGCCAGATTCACTTAACAGACGTGCCATTAACTTAACAGCTGCAGTGATTCACTTAACAACTGTGGAAAGTTGTAAAATGTGGCAAAATTAATAAATGTCTTATTTCGCAACAAAAATGTTAGGCTCAATTGTGGTCATAAGTTGAGGATTATTTGTAGTAACTTAAAATTCACCATGAATAGCTTGGGGGCAGAGTATCCTAAAACCATAAACTAATATATATTGGGAAGATCTATACACTGTGACATAAATCTAAGATTTTAATTCAGTGCTGAAGATTTAAAATAAAGGGAAGGATGATATTTATTTATTTATTTTTGGTTGCTGGAGTTCAGGCACTGGTAGGGATGAAGAGCGTGTCGCTTTACCAGACAAGGCTGGTTTTAATGTAGATGTATTTTTAATGTCTGTAAGCTGCCCAGAGTTACCTTTAAGTAAGATGGGCAGCCAATAAAGTTTATAAATAAGTAAATGAGTACCGTAAGTAAGTGAATGAGTGAATGAATAAATGGGGGGGGGGGGTATTCTGAAGTCAAAAGTATCCGCTCTGTGGTATCCTGGTATGACAATTCTTTTCTCTCTGGCTTCTGGATCATTCTTGCCAAACTGCAGAACTGATATCTTAGCAGAGGAATTTTGAACTCATGATACCACATGGCAGACACATGAGCAGAAGCAGGCAAACAAAATGATTAGCAGATGGAGGAACCTCCTTTATGATAGGAGTCTGAATGGTTTGGAATCATCTATTTCAGTGTTTCTCAACCTTGACAATTTTAAGGCATGTGGACTTCAACTCCCAGAATTCCACAGCCAGCATTGCTGGCTATGGAATTCTGGGAGTTGAAGTCCACATGCCTTAAAATTGTCAAGGTTGAGAAACACTGATCTATTTATAGGAGTATACATTCCGGAGGGGAAGTTCTTCCCCCATAATATTAAATCTTACATCTAATTTGGATTTTCATATATAAATGCAATTCTGTAAGGCAACCCTAGCTTTAGTATTGGGTTTGGAAAGAAACCTTGAGACAGCAGACTTTTATTTTCTCAATCAACAGACGAGGAAATTGATAGGCCTTTTCTCAGCTATATTAAATCAAGTCAAATCTTTTGTTGCAGTCAATGATGATCAGCAATAGGTGCAATTCAACAGCAGTTTGATGGGGTGGGGGGGGGAAGAGGAGTGGGGTATAGATAGGTGAGCAATTCGCAGAAAAGAGAGGAGATTTTCTTTCCAATAGTTAATGCACATTTTGCTTGATTTTCAGTAATTCCCCTCTTTGATGAGACTGTGTTTTTTTCATAGGACGGAAGAGCAGCATCGGCAGTCGTTGTCTGTTCTTTCCTGTGTTTCTGTCGCCTCTTCACCACAGCTGAAGCTGCCGTTTATATGTTTAGTATGAAACGTTGTCCTCCCGGCATTTGGCCATCACATAAGAGGTACGTTGTTTGCAGAATTGACCTGTTTCCTTAAAAACAAATCTTACTCTCTTTTTTTTGGGGGGGGGGGGAAATTTGCAGAGTGGGAAGGGGTGTAAGAAGATCAGTGAAGTGTGTCTTCTTACAAAGTTATTTGGCTCCTCAGGGTTCTATCTTTTTCATGCAGTCCACAGTGAGATGTTTTTATAATTGTAGTATCGGCGTTAATATCAAACAATGCTTAGGTCACTTTCCAATTAAAGCATTCCTGCAAATCCAGCATAGGTGCCAGACCTGACTGGAGTTTTTCATTTCTCCCTTCTTTTTAGTTTAATATCCCACCAATCTTTTCATCGCCCATCATTTTCTAACATTTTGTTTGTTTTAATTGGGAAAAAATAAAAATATGGCCACAATAAAGTCAAGGCTATTATATGCAGACTGGAAGAAAGCTAACATCCCCTAACTCATTTGGGTTTTAAACATAGTGTCTGTGTGTCACAAGGCCTAGTAACAGAGCAGAAGCAGTGAAAATGTTATTATGGGGATGACTCAGCTGTACCACTCTTTTTACCTCATAGGGTCCTGGAGGACTAATGGCTTAACTGACAGCTAACTGTTAGTCCCAGATTGATACAACAAACAAAACAATGGTTAAGGAAATTTAATTCCTCATAAATTGGTTATGGCAGCCTATAATCTTTCCTTAACCACAATTTGTCTTTAGTCTGGGCTCATGTAGCATGCTAAGCTTAACCACAGTAGGCATAGTATATTGTGTGAATCTGTTCATTCTACAAGATAGTACTGATTTCTTTCCTGTTTTCAGCTATTGAGAGCTCCCTTTTCTCATCTATCATTCAAATGCTACCTTACTATGCTGATAAAGTTCATGCCTTTTTAAAGTTCATGATTTTAAAATGTATTTAGATTTCTGAATTAATTTATTTTTGAGGCCTCTGATATATTTTTCATTGATAAAAAATTCGAACATAGAGATTTGACAGAGTACAAAAAGAGGGAATATAATAATAAAACTTGCAGAGATTAATGACAACCCCATAAGCCTTATTACAACCACTTGCTCCTCAAACATTGCTCAGCTGCGTATTTAGTTTAATGATGCTCGCTTAAACTAAACATGCAAAACACTCTTGTGGATCAGCCATTGATCTATAGCAGTGTTTCTCAACTTGGCAACTTGAAGATGTCTGGACTTCAAATTTCAGAATTCCAGAATTCCCTTCCAGCCATGTCAGCTGGAAAATTCTGGGAGTTGAAGTCTACACATCGTCTAGACATCTTCAAGATACCAAGGTTGAGAAACGCTGGTCTGTAGCAAGCATATCTCCCAATTATGGGGTTATACGAACTGAAAGAAAATGGCTTTATTCTTCTCAGAGTATCTCTGGGTTATAATACTGTTTAACTATGTACAGCATAATAGTAGGAGAAAGAATACATGCCGTTGCACACTTTTTGATGAGATTGACTACTCTGATATGTATGTTTGAAGCTGTATTGCAATGACTTGGTTCATGCAGCCTTGTTTGACTGTATATGTTGACCATGTTCTTTGTGTGCTCCCAGATATATTGAATATATGTGTGACATGATGGCAGATGAGCCCATTATTCCTCACAGCAAGCCAATCCTCATAAAGTCAATCATCATGACTCCAGTTCCTCTCTTCAGCAAGCAGCGTAACGGCTGCAGGCCTTTCTGTGAAGTTTATGTTGGAGATGAAAGAATAACCACTACCTCACAAGAATATGATAAAATGAAGTAAGTGGGATTTCCCGACAGCCACCATTTTGTCTCTTGAGATGATGTGGTGTAGGGTGGGAAGGACATCCATTGGTGCCTTAATATCTAACACATTTTTATGGCTGGCAATTAACCATCAGATGCAGGTACTAATTCATGCAGTGGCTATTTTATTAGATGCTTTATTTGATTATTGTGCAGAAAGGCTACCTGGATTGATTCATATTAAAAGCATCCCTGTCTTCAGTTTATGAACTAAAAGATGAAGCATAAAGGGGATATAGGGAAGATTAAGAGAAATCCCAGAGTTCTTAAGGGTAGAAAGCAAAAGAGAAGTTGAAATTTTATCAAGGCTGGTGGACTGGCTTTGTTCACTGTCTTCCCCTGCTTTAGCCTGGAGGCTAAGCTGGACGTGAGATGAAAAAGAGCCAGAGAAGGTCAGTCTTTCAAGCTTTAGGTGTGACTGGATGTTCCCTTAAAGGCAGATTTGCCTGAATTTTATTCTCTTTGGAGTTCAGATATATTAGTCTACCATTTCCATCATCCAGTTGTCATGAAAGCTGAGGGTCGATGGGAGTAGAACTGTAACACATATGGACGGCCATGTGATTTGAGAAGGTTATCCTACAGCGTGGTAGGAAATGGCTCTCAAAAAAACCCAACCCATTTAATCTTGGCATTTTTATAACTGGAGTCCAGTGTCAGTAAGTAACAGGAAGTTGTGAATACCTGCTGCAAATATTAATATATAATTTTAGAACAGGGGTCCCCCGACATATGCTTGTGCAAGGAATATTTGTGTTTTTGTGGTTTGTTGATCAGTTCATAAGGTACTTAGCCAGACTTTCATAGAAACAATTGGCCATATAATTCGGGAGTTCCCAAATCGGGTCATGATCTGATTTTGGGTTGAGAGAGAGAAACGTCTGTTATTTAATGACCCACACCAAAATAAAATTTTGGGTATGGCTAATCTTCATCCTTGTTTACATTTTCAAGGCATGCAGGACCATCCCAAAAGTCTAGCTTTGTCATAAATGTAGGTAGACAAAGATGAATTTGCTTCTACTAATTTTAGCTTATAATACTATAACTATACGAGCAATCCTTAAACATTTTTAGAGAGCCAGTTTGGTGCAAATGGTTAAAATACCAGGCTAGAAACCAGGAAACCATGAGTTGTAATCCCACCTTAAGGAATGAAGTCAGCTAGTTCCCCTTTCTTAGCCTTAGGAAGAAAGCAATAGCAAACCACTTCCCCCCCCCCCCCAAAAAAAAAAACCTTGCCAAGAAAACTGCAGGAACTAATCTGGATAGTGTGTGACTTGAAGGCACACACATACACATAGTTCAGCTTTAAGTAAAACTGAACTATATCATTTTTAGTTTATGACCATATCTTTTAATAAATTAAAATAAATGAATTTTGACTTTGTATGCCTGTAGAAGTCAGGATCAGATTAGGGCAGTGGTTCTCAACCTTTTTAATGCCGCGACCCCCCAACCGGTCGTAAGTCGAGGACTTCTCAACTGGTGCAGCACCGTTTGCAGAATGGGACTTTTGGCAGGCTCAGCAGGGCAGAGACAGCCTGGACAATTCCTATTGGCTTTTGAAAGCCAATAGAATTAGACTCTATTCAAGAGAGTCTATTCTATTGGCTTTCAAAAGCCAATAGAATAAAAGGGAGTAGCACAGCTAAGGAAAAGGAGAAAAAAATGGTGGACTGTGTTGTTTGGTGACCTCCGTGAAATGGTCGTTCGACCCCAAATGGGGTCCCGACCCACAGGCTGAGAACCACTGGATTAGGGAGTATTTGACTTTTGTATGGCGTGCATGATTGCCCATGAGTCCAGGTGCAGGAGAGCAGTTGTGTTGGAATATCTCCATCGGTACTTTAAAAAGGGAGGCAATGAACTAATAAACTGGTAGAATGAATTACGACTACATTCAGATCTTAAAATCACGTCTATGCTTGTCCTCCTTAGGGATTTCAAAATGGAAGATGGGAAAGCGGTCATCCCATTAAGCATCACCGTTCAAGGAGATGTCCTCATTGTGATATATCATGCCAGGTCCACTTTAGGTGGCAGACTCCAAGCCAAGGTAACCATCAAGATGGGGACTCCTGTGCTCATAAGTTCTGAAAATGCTGTTGGGCACTTCAGGGTAGAGCTTTTTTCTTACCACTTTTTTTCCCCTTTTTAATATTCTATAAATCAGAAACCATTTCCTCATTTTTCACTTTGCTGCTTTCTTGAGCTGAACTTATTTTTTTTTTTAAGAAAGAAGTTGTATAAGTAGAAATAAAAGCATTATTGGACATTATGTTAACCAACAACAGCTGCAGAAAAATGTCAAATGTTAAAGTGAAATTTTAGAGTTAAGCGCTGCGGTTTAATCTTTGAGGATCAGCATTTTTTTAAAAAAAAATTAAACATTTCAAGAGAAACATAAATACGAATTTTCTGCAGATTGTTGCAGAAAATACAGGTGATTCTGCATCTATAGTAGTTGAAGTGCTTGAGATTTATTCACAACAAGATTTAGTTACTAATTCAGCTTATTTGTCGGCCAAGATAGTTGGCTGACTTTGATTCTCGCTGCCCTGAGCCTAGAAAAAAAGAGGCTTGGCTTCAAATGCTATGAATAAATTTATTGACCACAGGAAATCATTGGGATGCAAGATAAACTGTTTCAGGGCCAAAGGCCTTTTATGGTAACACAAGAATGGCAGTCAGAAAACATATGTAATGAAATGCTGAAGGTAGCGAGATGATGGTTTGTGTCTTCCGGGTATGTAGTTTCACTGGCACGTCTTATTCCTTTTTTTGTTGTTGTTGTTCCTTTTCAAGATGGCATCAATGAAGATGTTCCAGATCCAGTTTCATACAGGATTTGTACCTCGCAATGCGACTACTGTGAAATTTGCAAAGTATGTTGATCACGTCTCTCTAGGAAATGCTTCCCAACACTTCTTGTACTTACCGTTGTATTTGTTTTTTTCAAATAATAGCATCCTCCAATACAATTCTTCAGCCTTTTTGCAACCTTATGGACAACATTATTGCTACTTAAGTGACCAAAATACTGGGGGAGCACCAGGCTTTTCTTCTTCAACCATATCTTGGACTCTTGTGTGAATGCTAATGTAACATGAGCCAGAATTGAGAGATCCAAGGATAGGAGATGGTGGCAGTCCACAAAGGAGCCTCCTTTCTAAATGCCTTCCTACGTGGATTCTCCACGTTTCTGATTGTGGCACGCAGTATGGCTTCTGATCATTTCAAAGTAAAGATGAAATGGACGCCAAATGCTGAGTTCGAAGCAAAATTTGAGTTGTTCTAGGTTTGGCCAGATATATGAGCCAAACAGAAGCAGAGACGGATAAGAGAAATTCATATGCATAACAGGGAGAGTTAAGGATGGAAGTAAATAATCCTGAGACCTAATTTGCAGCTCTTTTCTCCAGTTCATATGACTTCTCCTTGTTTCCAATGTGGTTTTAATATCATTGAGCCTGACCACCCCACTTTTGCTCTTGTCAAGTGCTGATTAACAACTCTTGATTTTTCTTCAACATTTAAGGGACGGTTGGGGAAATGGTCTATTATTTTATGGAAGCCAGATTCTTTGTCCTCTATTTCGTCACGATGGATTTTTATAGAGGAATGAAACAGTTAAAGTCTCAATTTATGGGTGGGTTGCCTTTGCGAGCCTCATCGAAGCAAGTGAAGTTTGTTTAAGGGCTCTATAATCTTGCTTCAAGAGGTTTCCCTCTGCAATTTCCTTTTAAAAAGAAGTGCTTCTAACTAATGTAATATTGCATACAGGTATGATCTGGATGCCTGCGATATTCAGGAGAAGTATCCTGACTTGTTTCAAGTGAATCTAGAAGTAGAAGTAGAGCCACGAAATAAGCCCATCATGGAACGAGCTCCCTGGGATAACTTGAACATTAAAGGTCTAAATCCCAAGATCCTTTTTTCCAGCCGCGAAGAACAGCAAGAGATTTTATCGAAATTTGGTAAGAAAAAGAAAGAACCCACCTGCTTGAATTCTCCATAATCTTCCTTTTCACTCTCTACTTGAGTAGCTTTTTCATTTTTTTTTCCCTTTTTAAGCACTAAAGAGGAGGCCAGTAACAAAAGAGCCCATCTCTTAAATAGGATGTTTTGTATATTCTGTGGGTTTGATGTTTATTTTTCATCTGATAGGTAAGCCTGAACTGCCTAGGCAGCCGGGATCAACTGCCCAATACGAGGCAGAGGCATCAACATCAGAAGCCTCTTCTGAAGGCCCACCTGTCGAGCCAGACTCTCCAGAGAGCAGCTGTGCTGAGGCAAACTTCTTTCATACACTAGACTGGCAAGGTAAAGGTAAAAAGACCTGTTACTAGCAAAAGCTATGTTCGTTTTTCTAAACTCTCTTTTTATCCTTCTCTTAGCCTCAAAAGTTCTCAGAGCAGATTATGGGTGATTGATCTCATCCTTCCCCATAGCCTTATAATCTAAATTCCATGACAGGCAGGAAAGTGGGGGGGGGAGCAGGAGAGAGAGAGAGAGAGAGAGAGAGAGAGAGAGAGAGAGAGAGAGAGAGAGAGAGAGGAAAAGACAGATACAGAGAGAGAGAAAGAGAGACAGAGAGACAGAGAGAGGGAAACAGAGAGAGAGGGAAAGAGAGAGAGAGAGGAAAAGACAGAGAGAGACAGAGAGAAAGAAAGAGACAAAGAGACAGAGAGAGAGGGAAACAGAGACAGAGAGAGAGACAGAGAGGAAAAGACAGAGAGAGACAGAGACAGAGAGGAAAAGACAGAGACAGAGAGAAAGAGAGAGAGAGAGAGAGAGAGAGAGAGAGAGAGAGAGAGAGAGAGAGAGAGAGAGAGAGAGAGAGAGAGAGAGAGTGTCCTTATTCTTAAATCTAACCAAGTCAGCATAAAAACCCCAAACTGGTCTTTAAACATAGCTAATGGAAGAGCTCTGCTTTCTAGTGTGCCTTTTGTTTTAACCACACCTGCTTTGCTTCATCCATTATAGTTGCATAGGGAAAGCAAACAGCTTGCTTCCTTGATTCCTCTCGATCATGATGGATATGATTTTCTGAAGCATTTCCTCTCAACAATCTCCTTGGTCAAACTCCTCACTTCAGTTTCTTTTTCAAGAAGGAGAGACTTCCGCTGCTGGCCATTTCGTCGCGTCTGACCATTTCCTTCTCTAGCTTTTGTAGAGGCAAAAGAGGTCTCTGGAGTTGATGTCAAGTTGCACTAAGACTATCTTCCTCAAACCGGCCAGTCTCAACATGTGGGGCTGTAATTCCCCAGAATTCTTGGCAGTAATAATGCTAACTAGGAGAGTTTAGGAGTTTGCACTCATGTCAGAAGCACTGAGGCGCTTCTGGGTTGAAAGGATTAGCCAGTGACATCATTGTTGCCCAGGGGATGCCCAGTTGGGAGTTCCTTTCATGTCCTTGGCAGGAGCTGGAGCAAAGGACAGGAGCTCACCCCACTGCACGGCCTCACTTGGGCCTTGAACACGGACTTGCTAACCTCCAACCCGGCATCCTAACCACGCAAGCCACCACACTCCTATTCTAGGAGTTGGAATCCACATTTCTGAAGGCTGTGCTAAGACTTGGCAGCCATGGCAATTTGAGGAGTGCTGCTTGGAGCTTTACCAAAGCGCCCCATGGGAAAAGTGGTTGTTGACATATAAAGTTATATTCTTCTGAAGCCAGCCATTTGAGTTCAGCAGGTGCCTTTGGACGAATTGTTATGTTGATAAGAGAAGAGAATCCCATATGCTTTGCTTTGAATTCCTCCGAGAAAGGCATATGAATATAATAAACTTCTTTTTTTTTTTTTAATAAACAGAAGGAAAACAATCTGAAACTGCTCCTGAAGGTCCCTTTTCTCAAGAGAGTCTTGGGTGCGTTGAGGAAAAGGAGAATGAACCTTCCGACGAGGAATTCTCGACCTTCCCCGACGATGTTAGACCTTCTGAGGATAGGGAGATGCACCTCCTGGAACAGAAAGATGGCAAGCATTTTTTTGAAGCTGGCTTTGATATACCAGCTGATCAGTCAGAAGAGACTCCTGAAGAAGGTAGCATTGACTTGCTTGGGCTTGATTCAGAGGCTGCTCCTGAACTGCTCCAGCCTCCGACAGAGATGAAGAGTTCTTCCAGCAACGCAGACTTGCTGAATGGACTCTTTGTTAGTAGCACTCCAGAAATTTCAGAAGATTCAACTGCAGACCTCCTGGGTGGAGGAGCAGACTTTTTTTTTGGTGGCCAGCCCCAGGCCTCAGCAAATTCCCAGGGCAACAGTTCCTCAACAGCAGCCCCTTCTTCTTCTACAGGTAGGTACCTCGTGCTTCCTTTCCATTACAATTCTGGCCTGCAGAGCTAGTTAAGTGGGGTAGACAGCCTTTGGTTTATTTTGGCATTTGTGTCAGATCTGTGATTAAGAGGGCGGGGCTTCTAAATGTCATCTGACAAGCCCTGCCTTTTATGCTGTGCCTTTGTCCCTTGTAGAGAGTTTCACCCGCAGTACCTTGTGAAGAGTTTTTTTTTTCCCATTAGTCTCTCCCCAGAGCTCAGGTTTTTTAAAAAGAAAAATCTGCTCTAGAGCATAAAATGAAAGGTTTCAATAGACGCTTGATCTTGAAAATCTCAGCTCTTTTAATTTGATTTTCTTTTAATGGTACAGTTCTAGCCTTTGTGTTTATAGCACAACAAGTCCTATATAAGTATGTTAGGAGGTGTATGGAGGAGGAGAGAATAGACAAAAAAAATTATTGTTGTTGTTGTTAATTGCGAAGTCGTGTCCGACCCATCGCGACCCCATGGACAATGTTCCTCCAGGTCCTCCTGTCCTCTACCATCTTCTGGAGTCCATTTAAGTTCACACCTACTGCTTCAGTGACTCCATCCAGCCATCTCATTCTCTGTCGTCCCCTTCTTCTATTGCCCTCAATCTTTCCCAGCATTAGGCCCTTCTCCAGTGAGTCCTTCCTTCTCATTAGGTGGCCAAAGTATTTGAGTTTCAACTTCAGGATCTGGCCTTCTAAAGAGCAGTTGGGGTTGATCTCTTCTAGGACTGATCCAAGGGACTCGCAGGAGTCTTCTCCAGCACCATAGTTCAAAGGCCTCAATTCTTTGGCGTTCAGCCTTTCTTATGGTCCAACCTTCACAGCCATACATTGCAACTGGGAAAACCATGGCCTGGACTATACGCACTTTTGTTGGCAGGGTGATGTCTCTGCTTTTTAGAATGCTATCTAGATTTGCCATAGCTTTCCTCCCCAGGAGCAAGCGTCTTTTAATTTCTTGGCTGCAGTCCCCATCTGAGTTGATCTTGGAGCCCAGAAAAATAAAATCTGTCAAAAAAAAAATTATACTGATCATTAATGTAGCGATCATTTGTTTAATCCATCCATTGTTCCTACCGTTAGTACATCTTGTTACCTTAAAGATAAAGGCAGGAGCTGGAAAGCAAGAATGGTTTAAATTTGCTTTAATAGCTAAATTTTAAGAGGTGTGTACTTACAATTTAATATCATCCAAGAATAATGGAATCAGTTTTAGCTTTATTCTTGAGTACTATCAATGGTAGCCATTACTGGCAGTCCTTGCTTACCAACTGCCTTGTAGTATGGTTTTTACCTGCTGAGATCCTGTCCTCTCAGTCTGTTATAAAGGAAAGTTTGCCCTTGAGAAAGCAGATTGTGCTATTGCTTGTAATATATCTTGACATCAGATGAGGGCAACCGTGCTGGCATAGTTTGGGTACAAGATTGTATGAGAGCTGTTTATGAAAAACACCCTGTTTATTGCTCTGTTTGGCTGCTGATGTGGGATGGAAATGATCGGAGATGAGCAGGTTAATTTTGCTTGAAACGATGAGTGGCGAGTGGAGTGGGTTGCTAAAACGAGCAACTTTGCTGTTTTGTGTTCCCAACAAACATCACCATAATCTTAGCTTCTAGGAGCCTTGACTCTTAAAACCTTTAAGTGGCAAGGTAGAGCATCTGCCAGATTTCCTGCTGGCCACAGTGTGGCGTTCCCTGCTGGATATATAAATACCGGTTCTTGAGCCGCTGCAGTCAGTTTTTTCTTGACACTAGGCAGTGAAATACCTTCAGGCTGGAAGCTCCTCTTCCATTTGTTTTTTCTTTCCTTTCCTCCCCTTTTGTAGCTTCTTTTGAAAAAAAAAAAAAAAATCAATAATGCCTTCCCTTCTGACCGGTACAGTATGACTTGACTTTTCTACTTCCGTTTGGGTCACTAGGCCACTGGGGTTTATTTTTTTTGTAAAGGAAGCCCTGTTAGGTTTCCTTCTGCTGATGAGTTTTGTGCTAATTTCAGCATGCCAGGCAGGCTTTCTTTTAGTATAAAACTTAGTATGCTTCAGAGGTTGCAGTTTTTTCTTTCTTGAGAGTCAAGAGACTTAAGAGGCGGAACGAATACAGATTGTCTAAGGAACTATTATAGAAGACCGCTGCTCTTTCTGATGATTAGAAATCCTTTCGTTGTGTAATTAAGCCCTAGTAGTCGAAGGGTGCGTAAAGCTCAGTGTTAACTTCTAGAAAGAATTTATCCTTAACATGCCTTCTGTCGGCATTTCCTCAGGCTTGCAATATTTGCCAGAGCAGAACCTTACTTTTTGTTTGCCTTATTCCTGGAAGCATCTCAAGTAACACCAGCTATGTTGTGTTTTGTTTTATCTTTAGCTGACCAGTTTGACCCATTCACAGTCAATGCAGACAGTCCAACTCTTACCGGTCCTGATCTCTTTGGTGATTTTCTTAGTTCAAATGCACCAGCTGCACCTGCTATGTTTCCTTCCACACACAGTGCACCGCCTCCTTCCTCTAGCACAGACTTCCTTAACTTGGGTAAGTGGATGTATGACCTGGTCTCCCGCCTTCCTTCTCTCTTTCCTTCCCTTTCTCCCCCAAAATCACATGGCCTGTTGAGTGAAACCTGATACTCGTACTAGTTCAGTTGGATTAGTGTCAAACAAGCGTTTTGATGGCACCATTATGGAACAAGCTTTCTGTTGTCGATATAAACTTGTAACTCCCTTTGCAAACTGAAGTCTTCTTTTATCTTCAGATTCTTTTGGGATGCAAAGGCAGCTACATTGGGGAAATCAACCCACAGTATAAAATTTTTAAAATATAAAAAAGCTCTCAAGACTTTGCTCTGTTGTCCAGTCAGCTGTCGGAAGGCAAAACTCTCTTTATTGCTATCTATCCTCTCTGTCACATAACAACTGGTCAGGTGTAATATAAAGTTGGTGCCATCTTTAAGTAATAGCTTTCATGGTTCTCGATGTTCTGTTTTGTATAACTTAGAAATACTGTCGTTTTGCCATAAAAACAGGAGTGGGCAACCTTTCCACAACCCGTGCAAAAAAAGGGGGTGGGGTGGGCTAGTAAGTGCTTCAGGAATCACAGGTGGTCGACTTTTTCCATAGTGAAACTGTGGAAGAACTAAAGACATGCTATAAAGTTTTTTATAGGCCCATTTCTAAAGGCGTTTGCCTCATCAGTCATCCTTAAGGGGTTCCTGATTGGTAGTTAGCTATGAAACTTCTCTGTAGCCAATAAGATGTTGGAAAAGATGGAGCAGGTTTGTTTTGAACACTATACTAGTAGCTTATATCTTTTCCAGCCTATTGCTTTTAGCTTCTTGTACCATTACTACTTAAAGCTGATGCATCCTCTAGAGCTAAACCAATTTGCTTATGATATTCTGAAGAGTGATAAAAGTCTCCCGTAACTTTCTCTAATTTAAATGTGCCATATTAGACATTAAGAATATGGTGGTGAATTCTATAATAAAGAATTCTGGAGTGTGGTGTTGAGGGTTCCTGAGTTGGAATCCTGACCTCTACCAGGATGATAACTATATTTCATTATCCTTGATTTTTTTTTTCTCTCCCTTTTCAACTGCTAGTTAGAATTCTATGGATAGTGGGCATGTTCCCCCCATCCCACCCTTTGATGTTTACTTCCTGTAAAGTATTTTGTGTTTCTGAAAATCTTGGTGCTCTTCCATCTGTCCCCAGCCAACTAAAATTTTAATCATAGAATCACTGAGTTGGAAGAGACATTTTAGGAAGGCATTGATCCAATTCCCTTATTCAGTGCATGAATCCAAATTAAACCATCGCGTCTATCCAGTATGTCTGTACATTGTTTACATATGTTAAGTGGAGAAGACCACATTACTTCCTTAGGTAACAGATTCCATTTCTTACTACACTGTCCTTTAATTTACAATAATTATTCCATGTTCTGCACAATAGGACATTGCTCCATGCTGATACAGGGAAATATTATCTTGGTTACCATCTGCATGATAATCTCATCAGGTATTTGATGAATCTTGGATCATTGCTTTCTGAGTTCTCTTTTCAAGACTTTCTATTACCACTTCTCTCAATCTCTCCTTGTCAGATCTAATTTCTGGTCCTCTTATCATTCCCATTGCGCTTCTTTACTTCATTCGAATTTGTTTCAAACTTTTTAAAAATATGGTGCATAGAATTAGATGTAACATTTGAGATGATAGCTGACCGGTATGGAATTCTTCCATTTTTCAAAAATGTACATTAATACAGCCTAAAATAGTGTGCAACTACATTATATTACTGTTACTTAGGCTTGGGTTAAAACCGTTTTAGGGATGTAAGAGGCAGCCTACAGAAAAATAATATGAGTACAGTTTATTTCTGTTAGGTTGGATATCTAATCTATGCGAGCCGGGGATACAAAGTATTAATTATACTCAGTAGCTCATTTGAGTTCAAATTCTCTGGAGTCTAAAAAGAAGACAGACTAAATGAATAACAAACAGCTCACTGTATTATAATATAAATTTATTCTCAGTGTTAAGTATCTAGAGAGTTACCTTCCTCCATTTATTTGTAAAGAAAAAAAATAAGTGCTAGAGAAATAGGTGTAGACATCTGTGTTGGTTGTGATTCTATATCCTTTATTTCCATGTTGGCAACAACACAATAAACTCGGATCTTAATGTAGTTCAACTTTCCAGCGCATTTATTTGTCTGAAAAAGTTTATGGTCCTTTTTCATTCTAAAATATAATTGAGAAAAGAACATGCACTAGTAAGCAATGAACCATCTTTGTAGTTATTGCTCATTTGCATCAAGTAGTGAGTGGGCTAATAGAAAGATCTTTTCCTTTTTCTTGGCTAGTTCACAACAATCTTTTGTATGTAAAAGTGTCTTGTGTGTAAAAACATTCAGTTTCTATAAGTGTACGTAGGAGTAGCTCTCAATGGATGGGTGTCTGTCTGAATAGACTGAAGAAGAAAAGCAAACACAGAAAGTCTAATTGCCCTTTTTTTATTAAGTCTGAACTGAGGTGGCAACACATGCAATTGTTATTCTGGTTCCTCTCCTGATTAAATCTATAAATAACATTTTGTAGAATCCGGAAAAGATCTCTCTTGCCAGCTTAATAGCACATCTGCTCCATGCTTTGGATAAAGACGCAGAGAGCTTTTCTAAAATGATTGTGTCATCTGTTGGAGGGATTTAGTTAGGCTTGCTATAAGACCAGGTTGGACAATGGCCTTTTGACCTTAGTGAATTCTTGTGTAACCAATATAATAATTTCAACTTTTGTAGCTCTCAGTTTTTTTTTTAATTATCCAATCTACATGCACGATTATTTATTTATTTGTTTGTTTTAAAAGAAACCATCTCCATTTCTATTAAAATAGCAGGCGCCTTCTGCCTGGTTATTTATAGCAAATCTTCAGTGTAATAGCCAAGAGGGGGAAAAAGAAAGAACAATAAAGTCAAATGTCCATTACATTTAAATGGGTATTACATACATACCTGCATAAATTGATGAACGGGGATTTTCCACCTGCAAAAAATGGCACATGGGAATACTATACAAGAACAGAGTTATACAACAAAGAATTTTCCTGTTAATCTGTAACTGAAGGTCTTATACAATTTTGAGAGTATACAATCTTGAATAGAGTCTAATTCTATTGGCTTTCAAAAGCCAATAGGAATTGTCCAGGCTGTCTCTGCCCTGCTGAGCCCGCCAAAAGTCCCATTCTGCAAACAGTGCTGCACCAGTTGAGTAGTCCTCGACTTACGACCGGTTGAGTAGTCCTCGACTTACGACCGGTTGGGGGGCCGCGGCATTAAAAAGGTTGAGAACCACTGGTCTAAATAAATGTTACAAAACATTTCATTTTAATGGTGAAATAACTTTCACAAAAACCTTGGACAGAAGCATATAAGGAAATAAAAATAATTTTCAATACAGTCGTCTTTTTCATGGAATGAATTAAGGACTGTTTTCTTATCTTACTTTTGAAGCTGTCCCCAGGTTGACATAGGCTTTCATAACTTAGATTTCTTGAAGTAAACTTTTAAAATTGCCAGCCAACCTGGCTGGAAATACTGGGAATGCTGGTCTATCATATATGCAATGCACCTACTTATGAAGATTTATCCTTTGTCTGACTTTGGCTCTGATAATCATTTAATATCCAGAGCAGTGGTTCTCCATCTGTGGCCTGTAGACCCCTGGGGGAACACAATGTTGTCACAGGGGGTCCACTAAGGCTTGAAGAATTAAGTCTTGGGGGTCCCTGGCCCTGGTCCCTGACCACAAAAGATATTTAAAGGGGGTGTGTGGTGAAGAAAAGGTTGAGAAACACTGATCCAGAATAATTTCCCCCCAGTTTCATACTCAGAGTAAACTAAGGCCTTCTGGATATGAAATCTGAGAATGGCAGTAGATCTGGTTTATGCTAACTTTGGAAGGTAAATTGAAAACACTAATCCAGCCCAACCAAAAAGCCATTTGCGTTTTTAATGCAAATCAGTACTATTAAAAGTCAGTACTAAACGTTTGAGTGTTAAATTGAGAAAAGTGGAACATGCAGAGACCTTGACTTAATAGTCTAATTGACCTGAATAGGATGCTGGTAATTGTAGAACTGAAAAATTCAAAATAAGACCTAGTGTGTTTTTTTTTTTTGCCAGGCAGGACTTGCCTGTTTACAGTAGAACAGTCGCAATAAAAACCTCTTATACTTCAACTATAGTTCTTTTATTGTGCATAACTTTGTGACACTGTAGCTGTTATTCATGCTGATACAAAATAAAGGGTTTTTTTAGTCCAATATATCCACTGGACTGGAGAGGGCTGCTTGACTTGGAGCTCAAACTTCCTTACAGTTGTCACAGTGCCCTGTGGTCACTGAGATTGCTACTCTTAGGCTCCTCCATTAGCTGCCAGCCCCATGTGGCTTCCTAGTTTACTGAGGAGATGAGAGAATTTAAGCAATTGCTTAATTGAAAAAATGCCAAAAATGAGGGTGGTATAAAACCAAAAGTTGATGCAACTCTAAACTAGAATGAATTTACATTCAAACTTCCATTACAGCAATGAGAGCAAAGTATTTCCTATAACAGTGATAGCGAACCTTTTAGAGACCGAGTGCCCAAACTGCAACCCAAAACCCACTTATGTATCATCGGGTGCCGGGTGAGCGTGGCCCATTGGGTGGTGTGGCCCACTGGGTGGGTGTGGTCCATTGGGTGGGCGTGGCTGTGGTGGTAATGGCAGACTGGGTGGGACTAAAAAGTTCAATCAATCAATCCCAACTTTGCGAGATCTTTTTTTTCCCCGGGAGAAGTTGAAATTGATTGATTGATTGAACACTTTTTTTTTTTTTGCACATGGCAGTGGAGGCCTAAAGCAAAAAGGTTTTATAAAACCTAGCTGAAGGCCTAGGACTGGGGCGACGGTGCGCATGCCCACAGAGAGGTCTCTGCGTGCTCCCTATGGCACGCATGCCATAGGTTCGCCACCACGGCCCTATAAGATGCCTCTAGCTTTAATTTTACAAATTTCTTTACTTGACCTGCAGTATATTCCCAGTATTCTCTTTAAAAAGAGTATATATTTATACATTTGTTTTAAGTTGGAAGACTTCCAAATGTCAAACAGAATCTATGATCCTTAAATCAGACAGTTGTGCATATTGAACTTGGGTGCAAAACTGTTGCTTCTGTCACTGACTGACAAAGCCTCTTTTTGTTCTCAACTATATTGTTCTACTTGACTGAGAAATTGGCCGCATCTTTTTGGTTTGCTTAATTCAGTCTGCGTTGAAATGGTAGAAGTTAGATTTTCAAAGCAAGACCTTTGTGAACCTGCCTGTTTCACTTGGAAAAGTTTTAGGAAAGATCTTGATAGTGAAACTTCTAAAAGGAGAGGAGAGGCCCTGCGATGTGTAGAAGTGGCTTAAGAGTCAGCCGATGACAGTGATAAATGCAAGCAGGCAGCTCTGCAATTGAATTCTGATGACTTTTCTGGCTAATTAAGAGATGTTAAACATGGATCTGAGGTGAGCTTAAATCCGATGTCATGCCAAACCTGTATCTTATTTTGAGGAAATCTTGTTTGTCATTTTTAGTTACAGAATTAAAGGATCTTCTGAGTTGAGAAGACATATGTTTGTACAGTAGCAACTAGACATTTGACAGTTGAGGCTAATGTAGACATCATGTGTGGTTTTTTTGTAGAATCTGATACCTGCCTGTGTTAACAACATATGGCAGTTGCATTATATATACTTTTATTTGTGTCTTTGAGTCAGTTTTTAACCCCTGGACACTCCCTGGACAAATTCCTGAAATTTTCTTATTTCCTTCCTAGGGGTGAGAGAGAGTGACTGGCCCAAGGTCATCCAGCTGGCTTTGAGTCTAAGGCAGGACTAGAACTCATGGCCACACCATTTCTAGCCTGGTGCCTTAAGTACTACACCAACCACTTTACATCTTTTACAAGTGCTTTATAAAATATTTGAACTATGCTAGTTTAGCAGGAATTTTAACTGTTATTGTGAGCAGGAGTTTTTATGTATTAGACATGTGGATTCTATGTAGGATGCTTCAGTTGACAAATCGATTATACTGAGATTGCACTGTAATCTTTTACAACTGTGGAGCACTTCAAATCGACTTTCTAAAAGGTGATTTAATTCCAGGAAAAAAAAATAGAGCTATTTTGTGGCAGACAAGTGCTAGTTCTGCTCAGCGTGTTCCAAAGCAACTTTTGGGGGGATCAAGTCTGAAACCCTGCACTTTCCAAGTTTTTTTTTTTTTTTTACAAAAAGATAATGGGGTGAAAGCCATGCAATGTCTGATAATATGAAATATCCACCTTTCCCCATGAAATATGTTTTTGTGCTCTTGGTTTGACTGCTAAGTACTACCCTTGAAAAACCCAGCCAGTGTGGATCCAATTGTATTGGATACCATTTTGATTCTCTCTGCCTCTTTCTTTCCCAGTTCCTCGAATGAAGGACTGAGAACTCTTGTTCCCAGCCATAATTATGGCAAAGAACTAAGTTGAAGAAACCTAGTATTGAGCGTGATATGGGGACACTATGACAATGTCTACTTCTTGTTGAAACTTTCCCCATCTTGCCATACATATTCCAGATATGCAGGACTTCTGGAAATTATAGCTAACTCTATTTGGGGAGGGTGTATATGTGGTATGCTGCACAGGATAAAGTTGGGCTAGGCGGTGTTCATAGTGATGATAAGGCTCCGCTAAGGCCTTAACAAAGCTTTACTTCTGGTAATTTGGGAACGCTTAAGCTCCTTATCAAAAATAATTTGATAAGATATTCTAAGGTTTCAGATATTCAGATAGAAATTTAAACTGGTAACATCAAGGAGCATTGCTATTTTAATACCTACTCAGAAATGAACAAAAAAAAATCCTTTCTTTGACATTCAGAAAACTTTTATGAGACAAACATGGTCTTTTAGAATGCAGACCTAAATATACCATACCCTATTTTATGGGTATATTTAGGTCTGCATTCTAAAAGACCGTGATTTAATACAGAGGGAAGGCAAGCTAGCTATTTTGGACTAATCTCACCATGAGCTGGATGATTATACAGTATGTGTATCGCACCAGATTGTCTACTTCTAATTTAATATTCTCGTATCAAAATAGCACTGTTGAATAGCATTATAACATTTATTAGCATAACTGCTAAAGTGATACTATGGTTTGTTTTAACATACAGTAAATATCCTGATTTTGGTGGGTAATAGCCTAAATCCCTTGAACACCTAACTGCGTTTTTTATTTATCTATTTTACAATGCAGTGAACCTTTCTGGGAGATTATAAATAGCAAAGCTTTTGAATACTCATTGGCATGGCTAATTAGTGTTTTGATAAAATCCAACACAAACAGGGATTTATTATTTTTTTTAAAGCCAAGCATAGATGAATATATAAAGAAATACCGTAATTAATGTGTAACTGTCAATTCCCATATCTACAGTACAGTTTCTAAAGCGCAATCTTCTGCTTAGAACAGGGTTTCTCAACCTCAGCTGCTTTAAGACGCCTGGACTTCAACTCCTGGAATTCTGGGGAATAATGGGAATTCCTAACGTTGCTGAGTTTGAGAAACGTGCCACTGGGATGCTAGTGAGGCGCGGCTTCCTTATTTTCAGGGTTACTGTTTTAATAACTAAAGAACCCTGCTAGATTAGTTCAGGGATAATATAATTCAGATTTTGTCATATTTCTCCTGGATGCTTATAAGCACTGTATGAAGACACATGCCCCCCTCCCCCTCCCCTTTTTTGGTTCCCTATCCCTATCCCTCTCCTGTTCATGCTTCTTTATTCATAATTCACTATCCTGTTTGATATAGCAATTAGTGCCAATACAGTCGTTTGATTTAACCTGGTTTGTGAACTTTGGAGGCAAGCAGATAAATGTATGTGCTTTGGGATGGGGGAAATCTCTGCTTCATGTCCTTATTCAGAGATGATATTTTGCTGCATGGGCTTTGGAGGATCCCAGCTAATCTTTTCCTCCATGCATATGTTAAACTGGAATCAGATATCATTAGGAAAGTTATCTGTTGCTGTTCACCATATGTTAGGGGAGTTCTCAGCACCGGTACAAATAGATGGAGAGCAACTGTGCCAGTTGAGTTCAAATCTAAAGGAGAAAAATCCAGCGTTCTAACTGTATTTTCATCTGCAGGATGTTAAGTTTATGCATTTTTTGGGGGGGGGCGCACGCTTTTACTCTAATGTGTGGATTTTGAATTGTGTCCTTCTAGGCAATTTGGCCCCAGAGCCACCTAAAATAACTTCCTCAGCAAGCCAGCCAGACCTTTTAGGGGGTTGGGATTCTTGGACTGATACCACTGTCCCAACAGCACCCAAGAAATCAACTTTGGAAGGTATGGTATGGGGGCTGTCGCTTGTATTTTTAGCCACCAAAAGCAAGCAGGCAAAAACTAATAGGACCACGAGATAGCGCTGGAGAGACCTGACAGCTTTATAATGCAGTGTCTTTAAAATATCCCTGCAAGAAACCCTTGGCTTTTGGCTTTTGTTTTTGAAAAGCGATAGCAAGGGACAGCAAGCTTTAACATTGGCAATTGCTACCATTCCATTTTGCTGCAATTTTTAGAATATGTTCAGGCCTAAATGGTGGTTGCGTAATAAAGGAGAATTGGCAACAGCCTTCACCTAGAGCAGGGGTTCTCAACCTTGGCAACTTTAAGACTTGTGGACTTCAACTCCCAGAATTCCTCAGCCAGCAAAGCTGGCTGAGGAATTCTGGGAGTTGAAGTCCACAAGTCTTAAAGTTGCCAAGGTTGAGAACCCCTGACCTAGAGTTGTATGTGTTTTAGGACTGAAAGTGAAACTTCATTATATGGGGATGGGGAAAGTTTCAGGCCTAAGCAGGCCGGGTCAGTTGGCTACCTTAGTCGGTATCTTATGTCCTGCCAAATTTGTTTTCTGGCACTTTTTCCTTACTGTGGTCTTAATAGAAGACGATGGAGGGTTTTTTTTTAAACTGCTGCTGCAATTTCAGGATAAAACAACAGCAGGCAGGGAAATCAGAGATGAAACATGACATCTTATTTTGGTCATTAAAGGAAATTAGAATGAAATGAATCAAAGAATAGATATCACACACAGTCAGTAAAAGACATTGGTTTATACAGCTTCCCTACCTGCATCCTAAGGAATAAACGGAGCAATCACCCTTGTAAAGCATCTCAGTTAATCCCTTGATGTAAGGAAACAAATTAATCCAACGCGCCAATCGGATTTGTTCAATGTCAGTCAAAGTTGCATGAGCAAGGTTCTTTCTGAACTGAGATGCTTTACTCTGATTTGTATTTTCCCTTCTCCTGCGTTATAAAAACATGGTTGATTTTCGCCAATTATATCACTTAATCTGCTACCAAAACTGCTTCCACAGCAGTCATGGATTAATGGATCCTATAATATTAAAGAGTGTTTCTGCTTCCGGATTCTACCTGGGGTTTTTGGGGGAATTGTCTTTTCACAAAAAGGAGTCCTAATAACAATTCTGGTCTTGTTGTTCTTAGTTATCCAAAGAATTGGGACACACAGAAATAAATGCACATTAACTTTCTGAATTAAAAAGCTTCACCCACACACACGTACATGCATTCCTATGTACCAGTTTCAGCTGGTAACTGAGATTATGTTTTTTAAGTTTCATAAGGATGAAGATGGCACCTCACAGCCAAGTGATTGCTTGAAGGACAGCAGTTTCCATACACTTATCTAATTTGCAACAAAATTTGGCCAATACCAGTACAATACTTTTCCCATATATTTACACGTGGAAGCTATCTGTTGTTGGGAAAACTGCACCTTGTTTTGATTATCTCATTCTGTCTTTATAAAAGCCTTTGTTCTGATGTTTTTGGACATGCTGCCATCTACTAGAAAGATTCTTTTGGTTTTGTGGCTTGCTTCATCTCTCTTATTTGCCACTTTGCACCTTTCCACAAAATCATAGCACAAGTCAGTCAGTCTCTCTCTCCCCCCTCCCCTTCTTTCTCTGCATGTGTATTTGTACACTAAGCATCCACTAATATATTCAATCTGATAACTGCATATTAACATAGATTACAATATGGCAACAATCCAAACATGCATGCAGACTGGGGGACTGTGGAAAAGCCAGTGAATGCTGGCTGTGGTTGGAAAAGATATCAAACAGGCCCCAAAATGAATAGTTGCTGTTAAAAAAATAATAATACCGAATATTTGTATTTACTACTATTCAGGCCCAGCTTTCACAACAGGAGGGCCAGCAAGTGGCTCCTTGGGTCATTCCTCCAGTCAAGCAAAATCGCAGAATTCGGACCCTTTTGCTGACCTGGCAAACTTGAGAAGTGGCCTTCCAGGTAAGTGTCGGTATAAGTAATGAACGGCCGTAGTCATTACTCATCACTCATTTTTTATTTTTAGGGTAGTTTTCCATTTGACTTACAGGGAGTTCAGTCCCTTGCTGCTACTGTTTGTAGCCTTCCATTCTCTTCCAGAGGAGTTCGCCCAGGCTCTGTGAAATAAGTCAGTGCTGTTGTTTTTGATCGTTTGCCGCTCCTTGGAGGCCCCACCTTGCCCTTTAATTTCAGAAATTGCAGAGTTGAATCTGGTCCACCTTTTGAACTGGAATTTGTGCAAAATGTATGGAGAGGGTCAATCTGACAGACCGGTGGGACAGACTGAAATTGAGTTAGAAGAGAGAGCAGCCTGACCTGTCATTGTGCCCTACTTGCCAGGTGAAACAGAGTATTTGAAAAGTAATTGGATGAAAGCCCTCTGGCGTCCTCTATGAAACTATGCAGGCTGACTTACTCCGGAGTCTCTAAAAGGGCAACAAAATCAACTGTGGACAGGTAGTCCTCGACTTACTACCACAGTTGAGCCCAAAATCTATATTGCTAAGCAAGACATTTGTTAAGTGAGTTTTGCCCCATTTCATGACCTTTCTTGCAACAGTTGTTAAGTGAATCACTGCAGTTGTTAAGTTAGTAACATGGTGGTTAAGTAAACCTGATTTCCTCGTTGACGTTGCTGGTCAGAAGGTCACAAAAGGTGATCACATGACCCTGGGACACTGCAACCGCCATAAACACGAGTCAGTTGCCAAGCGTTTTATTTTTGATCATGTACAGTAACCGTGGGGATGCTGCAACGCTTCAAAGTGTGCAAAACAGTCGTACGTCACTTTGAACGGTCACTAGATGAACTGTTGTAAGTTTGAGGACTACCTGCATGGCCTGTGGGTAATAATCTGCAGGTTGGAATTACTTCCCGGTGAGGTTCCCTTTCTCTTTTCCATCCTCCTCTTGTCATATTTCAAGAAGGATTTGGAACCCCTCCAGGAGATACAAAAAGAGTGGCCTCTCCAATTAACTCTGACAGTCCGAAGAATCGGGGCTGGATTATTAGATGAACAATTCTTGCACAGGAAGCTTTTTTTGCACCATTTAATTTAATCTTTACTTACTCACTAGTTATTACATTTGTATACTGCCAACTCAGCACAGGACTCCTGATGGCTTTGTTATTAGGCTGTTGTTCTCTTCGCGCATTTTCCCCTTTCTGAGAAAAAGTAATAAAAATGTAATACTAGTATGAGGATTAGTATTCCCTCAGGGTAGGAGACTGGCTTTTTCCAGGTGTTTTGAACAGCAGCTCTCACATTCCCTTGTCATTGGCCATGCTGGTTGAGGTTGATGAAGCTGTAGTCCAAAACATTGAAAGAATACCCAATTTGGCTAGCCCTACTTCTAAATGTGCTAAGTATTTTAAATATATGCATGTGCAACCCTCACTTACAAAAATCTGTTGCCAGTAACAAGTCATCCTTTATTTTGGAAAACGAATACCTTTCCTTTGTTCTGTTGTATTCAGGCAACTTGCATTTTCTCAAATGTGGCCGTGCATTTTGGAGTGTGCCATGATTTTTGTTCAATTTCTTTTGGGGGTTGCTAGTGGTGTTGGAGGTTATTTACACCAACAGATGTGATGTCAGTAGCTTCTCCCAGTTTGAGCTCCTCAAGCATCTGGCCTTCTTGTTTTGTCCTCTTCTTTAAATATGGAGGTTATTTCAACAGCCTTGGTTACTAGTCCCTTCCCTTCCCTCTCACAGAAAGAAGGTTTATATGCTCTCCACCATTTAACGTAGGTTTAAAGACCAACACTAAGAGGTACTGCAGGCCTTTATGTTGTGTTTCTCAAAGCTAGCTTAGACCACAGGTGGTTCTTACAGCCATTCATTTAGTGATTCTTCGAAGTTACAGCAGCACTGAAAAAAGTGACTTGTAACTGTTTTTCACATTACAGAATCCCCCTAGTTCAGGGGTCCCCAACCCCCTTTCCGTGGACTGGTACCGGGCCGCAGCATGCCAGCAACCGGTCCACACAAACAAGCCCCCATCTGTGGGATGCAGGCAGCACACAAAACCATGCCCCCTCCGGGTCCACGGAAAAACCTCTCTCCACGGAACCAGTCCCTGGTGCCCAAAAGGTTGGGGACCTCTGCCCTAGTCACGTGATCAAAATTTGGACACTTAGCAACTAGTTCATATTTATGATGGTTGCAGGGCTTCAGGATCATGTGATCCTCCCCTTTGGCAACCTTCCGACAAGCAGCGTCAGTGGGGAAGCCAGATTCACTTAACAACCGTGTTACTAACTTAACAGTTGTGGCGATTCACTTAACAACTGTGACAAGAAAGGTCATAAAATGGGGCAAAATAGCTGTCTCACTTAGCAACAGGAATGTTGGGCTTACAGCTGCGGCTGTAAGTTGAGGACTACCTACATAGCATAGCAGTACTTGGCCATCACTGATTTTGCAGCTTGGACTATTGAAAGATCCTGTCATACTTTGTACTAAGGGTTTTGGCTCAGGGTGCTGCTTTTGAATTATATTTAAGATCACCCTACTAACGTTGCAATAGAGGAGCCCTTGGAAAAGTTTCCCTTCTGACTAGAGACATAATTTAGATTATTAAAATGTCCAATTGTTTCTTATCTAGGAACATCTAGTGGAGGATTCCCAGCTGGCAGTTTTGCTTCCAAGTCAACTCAAAAATCAGCGGGGGCTCAGTGGCAAACAAGCAAGCCACAAACCACCAGCACTTCATGGCAACCTTCACCCCAGCCCAAACCTCCGGAACAAGCCAAGTTGGGCACACAACCCAAACCCAACTACACTGTGAATTTTAGTGTAATTGGAGGACGGGAGGAGAGAGGTATTAGAATTCCTGGCTTTGGTAAGTACATGACAATCAGACATGCACTGGGCTGTGATCTTTTATCGTGCACATTTCAATTGGCAGCAAATCCCCATTAACTTTAAGGGGACAGGTTTTTCTGACTGTCGGAGAGACAGCACAGTTAAATTCCTGATTCCAAGATTTTTTTTAGGTCGTTCCCATAGTTATAATGAAGTATCCCTTGAAATAGAGTGTACCCACTTCCAAATTACTCTATTCATTTCCTCTCTTATTTTTTTAATTTATATCAGAGAGGGCAGCCCCCGCTATATGGCTGAATGTGATCTACATGTTAGATTTTTTTTTATATGCCACTCTCTCTCTCCCCCTCTCCCTCTCTCCCTTCCATCCTCTCTGTGGATTTAATGAGTTGTCTATATACTTGCTGATATTATTACATTATATTTTGTGTTTGTATTATGTTGTTGTGAGTTGCTCTTAAGTTGCTTTGGATTTGAAATTTAAATCTAATTAAATAATCTCATTGACTCTACAAAGTGAGCTGGGAGTTATCTCTAGGCCCGGGAAGGCAATTCTAGCATAGTGAAGTTTTCTCAGCCCTGATTTATGAAGCTCTCCAGCTTTTCACAATTGAAGGAGTCTATATCTAAATTTATGAATATTCCTTCTTTTTTCTTTTCATTAAAAATGTTTGTATTTAACCAATTGGAAGGGGTTGTTAAGCTTGTCCAGGAAGCTGATGGGTTGGACGTAACTCAGAGGATTGCCTACAGAACTTTTTTTTCGTTTAAAGAAACTATAAGGGATACCTTGCACCTCCATTACCCTGGGTAGAAATAACGTGAGGAGGGTAGATGTATATAGAGCAGTGGTTCTCAACCTGTGGGTCAGGACCCCATTTGGGGTCGAACGACCATTTCACGGGGGTCGCCAAACAATGCAGTCCACCATTTTTTCCCCCTTTTCCTTAGCTGTGCTACTCCCTTTTATTCTATTGGCTTTTGAAAGCCAATAGAATAGACTCTCTTGAATAGAGTCTAATTCTATTGGCTTTCAAAAGCCAATAGGAATTGTCCAGGCTGTCTCTGCCCTGCTGAGCCCGCCAAAAGTCCCATTCTGCAAACGGTGCTGCACCAGTTGAGTAGTCCTCACTTACGACCGGTTGAGTAGTCCTCGACTTACGACCGGTTGGGGGTTGCGGCATTAAAAAGGTTGAGAACCACTGATATAGAATCTTTTCTGGTCAGTAGAATGAAACTTTTTTCTTTGGCTGGGAACTTTTCCATCATCCTTCACCTTTGCTCACCATTGGTGAGGGCTGCTGACAGTTGAAATTCAACAATACCTTGAGTACTACAGGTTGTCTACTCCCGCTTTAACAGAGGATTGGGCTCTCAGCTTCAAAGCACATCTTCCATAATGGTTGAGCCAAGGTCACCGAGTCATTCTCTGAATATAGTAAAGGGTTGAATCCTGGTATTAATTGCGCCAATATAGATCCATTACATTTACCATGTTAGAGGTATAGACTGAGAGAAGTAAATGAATATAGTGAGGGGAAAAAGTATTTGATTCCCTGCTGATTTTGTACATTTACCCACTGAACAAAGAAACGATCAGTCTATAATTTTAATGATAGGTTTATTTTAACAGTGAGAGACAGAATAACAACAAAAATATCCAGAAAAACGCATTTCAAAAAAGTTATGAATTGATTTGCATTTTAATGAGTGAAATAAGTATTTGACCCCTTTGCAAATTTAGTCATGACTTAGTACTTGGTGGCAAAACCCTTGTTGGCGATCACAGAGGTCAGATGTTTCCTGTAGTTGGCTACCAGGTTTGCCCACATCTCAGGAGGGATTTTGTCCTACCCCTCTTCGCAGATCCTTTCCAAGTCATTAAGGTTTCAAGGCTGATGTTTGGCAGCTCGAACCTTCAGCTCCCTCCACAGATTTTCCATGGGATTAAGGTCTGGAGACTGGCTAGGCCACTCCAGGACCTTGATGTGCTTCTTCTTGAGCCACTCCTTTGTTGCTTTGGCCGTGTGTTTTGGGTCATTGCCATGCTGGAATACCCATCCATGACCCATTTTCCATGCCCTGGCTGAGAGAAAGAGGTTCTCCCCCAAGATTTGACGGTCCATTGTCCCTTTGATGCAGCGAAATCGTCCTGTCCCCTTAACAGAAAAACATCCCCAAACTGTAATGTTTCCACCTCCATGTTTGATGGTGGGGATGATGTTCTTGGGGTGATAGGTAGCATTCCTCCTCCTCCAAACATAGCGAGTTGAGTTGATGCCAAACAGCTCCATTTTGGTCTCATCTGACCACAACACTTTCACCCAGTTCTCCTCTGAATCATTCAGATGTTCATTGGCAAACTTCAGATGGGCCTGTACATGTGCTTTCTTGAGCAGGGGGACCTTGCGGGCGCTGCAGGATTTCAGTCCTTCACGGCGTAGTGTGTTACTAATTGTTTTCTTGATGACTATGTTCCCAGCTGCCTTGAGATCATTGACAAGATCCTCCCTTATAGTTCTGTTCTCATGATCATTACAACTCCACAAGGTGAGCTCTTGCATGGAGCCCCAGAACGAGGGAGATTGACAGTTATTTTGTGTTTCTTCCATTTATGGAATAATCACGCCAACTGTTGTCACCTTCTCACCAAGCTGCTTGGTGATAGTCTTGTAGCCCATTCCAGCCTTGTGTAGGTCTACAATCTTGTCCCTGACATCCTTGGACAGCTCTTTGGTCTTGGCCATGGTGGAGAGTTTGGAATCTGATTGATTGATTGATTGATTGATTGATTGATTGCTTTTGTGGACAGGTATCTTTTATACAGATAACAGGCTCAGATTAGGAGCACTCCTTTTAAGAGAGCGTTCCTAATCTCAGTTTGTTACCTGTATAAAAGACACCTGGGAGCCAGAAATCTGGCTGGCTGATAGGGGATCAAATACTTATTTCACTCATTAAAACGCAAATCAATTTATAATTTTTTTTGAAATGCAGTTTTTTTTTTATTCTTTTGTTGTTATTCTATCTCTCACTGTTAAAATAAACCTATCATTAAAATTATAGACTGATCATTTCTTTGTCAGTGGGCAAACATACAAAATCAGCAAGGGACCAAATACCTTTTTCCTTCACTGTAGGAATGTTTACTTAGCTGATGCTATCTAACCAGTGTGTAGCTATGATGAAATCCTTGAACCAAGATTTTCTCAGATCTCACCATTAATAATAATATATAATAATAACAATAAAGTTGGAAGGGACCTTGGAGGTCATCTAGTCCAATCCCCTGCTCAGGCAGGAAACCCTATACCATTTCAGACAAATGGCTGTCCAGTCTCTTCTTAAAAACTTCAAGTGTTGGAGCATTCACTGCTTCTGGAGGCAGGTTGTTCCACTGTTAATTGTTCTAACTGTCAGGAAGTTTCTCCTTAGTTCTAGGTTGTTTCTCTCCTTGATTAGTTTCCATCTGTTTCCATTTCTGGGCTATGCTCAGATTCTTAAGTGGAAACATGTAAGTAACAAATTAAGTAACTGATTGTATTGACTTGTAACATCTAGTGGCCTTATAAAGAAGATAGCAGTCTAGCAAGTCACTGGTTTTCCCTTAATCTGCATCAAGGGAACACACTAATTCAGGAATAAGCCCTGTTGAAAAAAAGTTGGATTTGTTTCTAAGCAAGGAGATATAACAGTTTCCTAAAAGATAATGGCTTATTAATGACCAACATGAGTAATGAATAACAAATCTGTCATTTCTGTGTAAATTTTCTATTAATAGGAAAATGCCTAGCTTCTTTTTTCTTCTTTGCCAGGACACAAACCCAAAGTTTCAGAAAATGATTTTGAAGACCTTTTGTCAAATCAAGGCTTTTCAGCAAAGTCTGACAGAAAGGGACCCAAAACAATTGCTGAAATGAGAAAGCAAGAACTATCTAAAGATATGGATCCTCTAAAATTAAAGGTTTGTAGCATTTATGCTGAACATTTCCCTTTGCTTCAGATTCTTGCTGTGTTTTCAGTCAAGAAATGAACTGTAGGCCGTGCAAATGAATTTGCAATATAGGAGGCAAAGAGTACAGAATAAAGTGCAATAGGAAGAAGGGCGGATGTCTTAGTGGGCATGAGAGATCTCAGGTTATGCCTTAGCATCTTCCTTAAAGGGAAGTCAAATAGCAGAGCCAAGAAAGATCCTGAAAAGCACATCTATCAATGTAAGCAACATCCATTGTGAGAACAGGGACTGGGGATGTAACAGGTATAGGATTGGCACAGATGAGATTGAGCCAGTAGGTGCATTGATAGGAAAAACAAATGTGTAAAAGCTGCTGTATATTAAAAAGTGGTGAGGCTAAGCGGAGATTAGCCCAGTGCTATAATAGTTAAGCGGAAGCAGTTGTGAACTCATTAACAGTAAAGTAGATCAGTGGCTATTAGAAAGAGAGTATTAAATCATTGCATATGACATTGTTAGGTAATAAATATTGCTATGTGTAACGATAAAAGGAAATTATGTCAATTAAATGTTGTACAGCATTTGGCTTAGCTGAATTTCCCTCCTTCCCATTTCCTTTGCTAGCTTCTAGACTGGATTGACGGAAAAGAGAGGAATATAAGAGCTTTACTATCTACTCTTCATACTGTGCTTTGGGAAGGTGAAACCAAATGGAAGCCAGTTGGGATGGCAGACCTGGTTACCCCTGACCAGGTGAAAAAGTACTATAGAAAAGCAGCGCTTGTCGTTCATCCAGATAAGGTGAGTGTCTGGTAAATACTCACATGCGGATAGAGTAAAATTGTTCACATAAATGCTAATTACAGGTAGACCTTAACTTACAACCGGTTGTTTAATGGCCATCTTCAAAAAAGATACTAATGACTTGTTTTTGAATTATGGCTACCCCCCCCCCACACTGCTGTTGTCGAAAGTTAAACTGCATCCTGCTCTCTGCTAAGATAACTGTCATTGCTTTGGGCGTGCAGTATTTAAAAACAAGCATACTTGGCTGCCACAGAAACAAAATTATAATGGTTCATGGAAGTGCTTTGTCAGATCTTCCTAGTTTAAGGAATTGTGCACAGAGGTAGGCAAGTTGCTGTCACCTGCCTTGTGGTGCTTGCTTCAGGGAGCAAAGTGTCTTGACTATAAGTAGCCCTTGACTTAAGAACCTTAATGGAACCTGCCCATTCCAACTTTCCCAACCAGATGTGAATGATGATTTTTGGGGAGAGGGCAAAAATGCCATATAGGTGAGCTCAGTGGTGGGATTCAACCAGTTCACACCAGTTTGGCAGAACCAGTAGCTAATTTTTTGTTGCCCCGGCCCGCAACGGACTTCCAGAAGTGGCATCCACACAGAGAATCGGTTGTTCACATATTTGAGTCCCACCACTGGGTGGGCTAGTTGCCAAGTGCCCAAAATGCAGTCACATAATGGGGGGGGGAGGCAGCTATCAGAGCTTCAGAACTGGATCATAAGTAATTTGGGGGGCTCTGTCAGAACTTCAAAGGGTTGTAAGTCAAGGACTACCTGTTGACTGTTTCTGGAACAGGAAGGGGAATTCATTCAGATACAGTAGTTGTCCTAAGTGGCATATGGTTCCATATTGACATCTGAACTCAAAACCATTCTTGTTCTTTTCTCATGAGCAATTGGGGTGATCATGTCCCACTGAGAAAAAAAACCCAGTTCAGAATTCATTCAGTGCACTCATTCTTCTTTGAAAAAAAAAATAGAATTGTGAATATAGGAATTTAGTGTTCAGATAGTAATATTCCCGTGGATTTCTTCTTAACTCCAGAAGTAAAGCTAATTGTTTGTGATGCAAGTTAAGCTTGCTTTTACAGTTGAACAGTTGCATTGCGATTCAGTGTTTTGTTTGTTTGTGTGTTTACAGGCTACGGGGCAGCCTTATGAGCACTATGCCAAAATGATCTTCATGGAGCTGAACGATGCGTGGTCAGAATTTGAAAACCAAGGCTCAAAATCCCTTTTTTAAGAAACTCTCTCTTGCAAGGGAGTTGACTTCAAAATGCACTGGCAGCAAAACTGAATCTCAAGTGCTGCAGCGTAACCTCCTGAGTTGGGGGGGGGGGGCAAAACAACTTTCCCTGGTCTTGCACAATTTTAAACTGTACACACTGCAACCCAGTGTGTATTGTAGGCGATAAAATGTGAAACTTCGCAAAGATGGCATTCCCATCAGTGCTGGGAAGTTTGTGTTGTGGAAGTGGCAAGTTTCAGGCTATGTTACAGAAGGTTGAATGCACCAGTAATTCTAATAATGGCTGCTGGCGTGAGCAAAATTTTGCTAGTGGGAACATCAACTGTTTTGCATCTTGATTTTTTTTTAACTTTTCCATTTGAAAAACACAAAACCTCAAATTGCATTTCTGTTTTATTTCCCATGTAGTCTTTGTGACACCCCCCCCTTTTGTTCCTTGTTTGCCTTATTTAAGTGCTTTTGTTACCCTGTAGTCTGTGAGTTCACTCAACATCATTTTTTCTCATTTCTGTTAGAGGTGTACATTTTTCTTCTGTATTTTATGTAATCCTTCCAATGATCATTCTGTAAATAATTAAAATAGTTTTCTGACAACACCTGTGTTCCTTACACTGCATCACCAATTGCTTAGCCAAAAGCTCTTCCAATTGAAGAAAGAAGTTGGCTTGGGTAAATCTTGGGTTTGTACTACTTCTTTTTTTAAAAAAAAACCTTGTAAACTGTAAACAAAGAAGCAGAACTCAAGGGCTGTGTGGTCTTGCCTTATTTAATACAACATTCATGGAGGCAAGACAGTTTAGGATAAGGTGTTCAACCAGAAAGATAGTGCTTGTAAGGTCTCCCTCTTGCTTGCACTAGATGATCGACACGCAACTTGCAGGCAGGTTGACACATGCACAGATGGAAGCAGAAGTTCAGTCGGTTACAGTTTTGGTTTGCATTTGATTAAATTGCATAAATGTTGCATCTTTAATGGCCATTTTGAAGGAGTATGCATACTTTGGCTAGCCGCTGCTGACTTTTGTTCATTATTTCTAAAGTTTGCAGAGTCTGGAGGTTTGCACGTATGGATATATACGATCTTCTAGTAATATGTACAATTGGATGGATGGATGATGGATGGATGGATGGATAGATAGATAGATAGATAGATAGATAGATAGATAGATAGATAGATAATATTTTAAAGACAACCCCCTATTTGATGTGCCCTTTAGAACACTTAGTTCTAAAACTGGAGGAAAAAAATCACTTTGGGGTGTAACTTCTTAACTGAATACTGTAATATAGTTCGATGTATCAGATTAGCAGCATGCTCAATCAAGATTTGGTCTCCGAGCTGCATTAGTAGCTCCCAATAGAGAGTCTAGTTTGCCATTCAGATTTATTCACTGTTTTATGGTGTTATGGTTTGTTTTGTCTGGTTGGATGACCGCTGAGCTGAAGCTTGGCATAATCAACTGAAGGGCTGCTTTATTTGTGAGCGACTCCTGAACAAATTTAATTCAAAGTGCTATGTCTTTTTCCCAGCCTTAGAGAACCAACTGGTATTGGGGGGGGGGGGGGAGAGAAGGACAGAAGTGTGTAGATGAGAGGTTCTATTTAAAAAAAAAATACCTCCAAGTTGGTGTTAACTTGAGAAAGATGTACAAAGTCAAAGCAAGAAAGTGTGGAAAAGTTTTGAAATTCTCACAGCTACTTGAAACCCCTTTCTCCCCCTGAAGAAAATACAGTTGGCTTGCTAAAATGGGCTTTTAAAGATGATCATATTAGGCTGAAGACCCTAACATATAAGGCAGGGGCAGGGGAAATATGGCTCTTTCTATGTTGTTGGATTATAGTTTTGAAACATCTTGCCCCATTGGCTTTGTTAGCTAAGGCTGGTGAAAGTTGTAGTTTAGCAACATTTAGAGCCTCCAACCCATTGGGAAGTTTCTGTAAATCTGTAAAAATTAAGATAAAGTGCAGAATTAGAGTACAACAAAGCCCTCTTGTAAATTCTTGTACTTCTCTAAATAGAGCTGCTTGCAACTTAATCTTTAATAACAGGAAACACTTGGTGCAGCCATTTTTAAAGAAAGGCAGATAGTTTAGTTGTTGGGTTTTTTTTGTCTCCAAAGAGTTTCTTCACTGCTTTACTGAGAATATTCCAATTTGAGAGAAATGTATAATAGTGTATAATAGATCAACATTACAGTTACCCTGGTTTGGTGTTCCAAAAACCCCAGCTTGATTTCTTGGGAGAAAAATGGTTGAAAGGAGGTAATGCAATTCCTCTAAGTAATTGCTAGATTATAGAGAACAAGCTGTCTCTTATTCTTGGAATCTCTCTTGCTGTTAATTGTGTACAGTCTTGGCCATTCCTAAAACACAAAGATGGGTCTAGTGGGAGTCGAGAACACCTGCCCGCCCCTTAATTGCTAGTCTGGGTCTCTACTAGAATTAATCTAGAAAAGGACCTGAAGCCCTGTGATCTCTGCTGTATACTGGTGACACATTTTATACAGTCAGCCCTGCAAATTAATCTGCTGGCTAATGTACTCATAGTATCCAGGATTTTTTGATCAAACCTCATTGGATATTTAGTCATAACCACAGAGTTTTGCACTAGATTCAGAGGGCTTTCATCCTTTTTGAAGCCTTTCATAAGAAACCTATGTGGGATGTTTTGCTGCTGTTTTGCCCTCCCTTGTTGAAAGAAACTTTAGTTTCTATCTGTGTGTGAATGGCTTGCCAGTTAAAATACACATCTATGCCCAGGTCATTCCCTACCGTAAAATATAGTAAAACCATATCCTCCTGGGAATTCTATTTATGGATAGATGCCAGTGACATAGGAGGGAAATCTATATGGATGTAGGCAGTGCTTTTTTTATAATAATAATTAAAAAAAGGTGCCGGAACTCACACACATCATACAACCTGCCTTGCCTACTCTACAAGGTTCCATTCAAAAAAGGATGCCAGAACTCTGTTCTGGGCGTTCTATGACAAAAAAAAGCCCTGGATGTAGGTATATCCAGGGAAGGGACCCAATTTAAGGTCTCAGGACTGTATTGGAAAGAATGGAAGGACATTCTACTTTCTTTCTCCCCCTCTGAAATTCAGTCAGGAGTAACTAACTAAAATTTTAAAAAAGCTATTGAGTGACACTTAGCTCTAAGCCACGTTGAACTTAGGTATGACCCATTCAGTGGAACTTCCAATATGTTTTAGATGTGCCATTAAGAGTGAGAACTGCAAACCTCTCAGCATAATCCACTCCAGTTAAAACTTTAGCTTTCACGACTCTTCCAGGAACTTTTTGGGTTGCAGTGACCTCTTTAATATATATATATATATTCATTCTGACTACAAAGTGGTAAAATGGTTTGTCTATAGACAGGTTCTACTGCATATCTTTCAAGAGGGCAAGTATTCAAGCTGTACGAAGAGAGTACAGATCACATAACTTAACTGTTCTAAGTTGCCTTGCAAATTAGTCCTTTAAATGTAAATTAGGCTGCTGTGATCTGCAGAGAGAGAGATCACATTACGGATATTTGAAATAACCATTTGCTGTAGCTCTGTCAGTATGGGTGGTACTTTATCATAAAACATAAGAAAAAAAAGCCATGGCTTTGCCTAGAATAATTTGCAGTCTACCTTTCAAGAAAGGTATCTGAGTTAATAGTTGGGATAGAAACCTTGCATAGATGAAGTGTAAGCCAGTTTTAATTTGGATGGTAGTGGTGCTTTCTTTGATTATCTTTTCCCTCTCTGGTGAATTATAACGTCGTATTAAAGCAGTAGGTGCCTGGAAACAAAAGCTTGGTGATTTTTTAAAAAAATTATATTCCAAGCAACTTCAACCTGCACTCATTTCTTTTTTGAGGTACTTATGCTGAAGTTCAGAAAAATGCAACTTTGAATCAGTGTTAAACCAACAGCATTGAGAAAGACTTAATAGTCTGGGAACCGGGGGTAACATTTCACAACTACATGTATGTATGTATGTGTGTGTGTGTATATATATATGTATGTATGTATGCATGCATGCATACATACATACATACATACATACATACATACATACATACATACCTATTATACTGTAAGAGGGATGAAAGTACATCTGTGTCAAACAAGCTCCATGATCAATGTCTAGCTTTGTGAACTGGATAATCAGCATCATCTTTGGAGCTGGTGCAGATATAAATTTTTAGGTGAGTTAAGATTTTTTTTTTCTTGCTGCTTGCTGTTTGAATCCAATTTTGTTTCTTTGATGCAATTTTAAATGCAGCTACTATACTATGGTTACCTCCTCTGATTTATACGGGATATATACATGCTGTGGATATTTTAAGGGCAACATAAGAAATCTATCTTACACCAACTCAATTTTGGTAGCCCATTTCACCTGTTACTCTCGGTGGCAGCAGTTTGGGGAATTTTCAGTCTTTCTGATTTCCCACCACTTGGGTGTTCCCTTCTTAACTGGAGACTGAGCTTAGGAACATAGGAAGCTGTTCATGTGTATCTTTTGTTCAAAAATCAACTTTGTGGGATTTCAGTTTGTCCTCAACTGTTCCAAGGGATTGCGAGACCTGTACCTGGGACTTTTTACAGAGTACGTATGTGCTCTTCCACTGAGCCACTGGTTTGTATCTGATATTATTATGCTGTAGCAGGGAAAACTGTTCCAATTCGAGAGGAGGTTTAGCGGAACCTTGGCTGTAAAACATGCCGAGCTCTCACTCAGTTGGAATTTTAGCATTTTGGCTGAAGGGTTCCAGCTGGAATGTCAAAGCTGTTCTTTCATTCAAGTTAATGGATAAGTCCGTAGGCCTATCTTTCTTAGGTTGTTTTCTACCCCTCTAGCTTCCATTGAAATCAGTAGAAAGCGTGCTATCCCCCAAAGAGGATTTAAGAAAAATAATACCGGTTGGCTGGTTCTGCTAACCGCTTTAGAAATTCCATTCTTTTTCTTTCCCCCCCCCCTATTTTTTTAAGAAGACACTTCAGTGTTGTGAAAGGCAGCAGTACACAGCACATTATTTGACAGATTTATTGCAGCAATTCTATAACAGTCTTTCTCACACAATAATAGTAGTATTTTCTTTTTATGGCATAGAGATGCTTTTGTAGACTCACGTAACCGTGGAAGCATTGCTAGGAATACTCTGTGAGAATATGAATTCCTTTAAATCAGTGGTGCTTGATTTTTTTTTCACGCCCTCAGTCAGTGATTTATTACATTCTCCTTTAGCCAATTATATTTTAGGTACAACTGCCATAAATAAGTTGCTCAATTAGCAATCAAAATAACATTTTCCTTTTATTTTTCTATATTACAATTTGCAAATAATTCTTCTCAAGTAGAGTTTCACAACCTTGGCGACTTTATGATAGGTGAATGGGGAATTCTGGGAGCTGAAGTCCACCCATCTTAAAGTTATCAAGATTAAGAAACATTGCTCTAGAGTCTAGAATGTAATCCTCCATTCCGGATTTAAGCATGACTCAAAAATTTAACTGAAAACTTTTGAGCAATGAGATTTTTAAAAAGCGGCCTGGGGGAGGGGGGGAATCAAGCCTACAGCAATAAAAATTAGGTCTGGCAGCCTCACTTGGGAAGCAACGGAAAATTTGATTTCTGCATCTTCTCGTGAACCTTGGATGGCTTTTGCATCTGAAACCTCAGAATAAAATGTTAAAATTATTGATGGAACTGTTTTAATGAAGGATGCATTTCCGTTTTTTAAAATTTTAAAAAAGAACTTAGAGGTGTTGTGAATATTACTTTTTTTTCTATTCTTTTGGTGAATGTACTGCATATTATGGAACTGAAGAACAGTGAAGGAAGATCCTGCTTATTCCATGATTTAAAGAACTCCACATTTTTGTGTCTTAAATTGTCTGTTTTGCTGTTCATATGCATGGGGGTTTGGATGGCGTTAGAGTTTGGATAAAGAGGTGGAGAGAGGGGGAAATAAGAGATTTTTGTTTGTTTATTTTCATTGTGGTCCAAGTACTTTTGGTAATAGTTCAAATGAAAAAAATGTATAAATGTGTACGTACAGAAATCGAGTATTGTTTTAAGGTCGTACCTTGTAAAACAATTGTGGATAATCTATGTGAATGTTTTGCTCATAATGTACTGAATCAGTCTTTTGCTTTGAAATGGCCATGTTTCAGTCATTTAAAAAAAAAATCAAATACAGTTTTTCGTTTTCATAGTTATAAAGAGTAAGTGGCTCTTTTCTTCTTGTAGTCCAGTCACATTCTCACATGCTTGGTTATTTCTGTAGTAGGAGGACCTCAGGTGCTGCCCTTTAATAAAATCACACTGTAATCTTGCATGGAAAAATCAAAACCCTTGTTCATTACTGGCATGATAAACATGTTGAGTTCAAAACAGCTGTTCCAATCTTCTTCTGTTCTGATCAGTCTGAAAGCATTCTGAACTCAAAACCAGCCTCGGCAAAGTTTAGAATTCCTATTTAAGCTCAGAATAGGACATTGTAAGCTTGGAGCTTTCCCAGAATAGTCAGACCAGGGGTAGGCAACCTTGGCTCTTTTATGACTCGTGGACTTCAACTCCCAGAATTCCCAAGCCAGCAATGCTGGCTTAGGAATTCTGGGAATTGAAGTCCACGAGTCATAAAAGAGCTAAGGTTGCCTACCCCTGTGCTAGACACAAGCAAAATTCAACTCTCAGTAAGGAAATGTTCTTCCTGTTGCTTTCTAATATAAATATTGGAGATCTTCTAAAGAAGGTAGATGGTAGTGATAAATTCTAAGATCAAAGCATCTACATCAGGGGTCTTTAAACTTGGCCCTTTTATGACTTGTGGACTTCAACTCCCAGAATTCCTCAGCCAGGGTGCCTGGTTGAGGAATTCTGGGAGTTGAAGTCCACAAGTCATAAAAGGGCCAAGTTTGAAGACCCCTGATCCACATAATGCAGTGCACAGTATATTTTTGAAACAGTTTACCACAACATAATAGTGAAAGTGTCCATTTTAGATTACTAGAAGGGAAATCTATCGATGGCATCTCATTCTTTCAAAATTACTTGTAGTCTCAGACTAATCAAAACACAAAGCTTCAGTTAAGTTGGTGCACACCTTCAGCTATGAATTGTAAAGAAAGAATAAACAAATCCTAATGGTGACCATTCAGATTGTTCATTCTCCAGTCTTTCCTCCTAAAAGTTCGCCAAAAGCTTGAGAGAAACAGATTATAATGTCCTTTTCCAAAAGACAAGCTGCCTAGTTCAATGTTTCTCTTTTTCTTAACATGTAGTAAGTGGATGAATGGTATTCAGTGATGGAACTGACTGCACCCCATTTACAAACAAGGCAAAGAAAATGGCAAGAGTTAATCAAATTGAATTGTAAAAACAATTCTATACCTCAAGAGTTTATTTTGCTACTCCAGAGAGTAGGGAACAGGGAACTCAACATCTGGAAGGTTATAATTCCAGATAATCATGGCAAGAAGACAGCAGTATCAAAATTTGCAAGATGGAGTGAGGGGCCCTGGAATTGAAGCCTCCTTTTGTATCTGGTGACATAACAGAAGGATCAGGATTTTGAGATGCCCATATGGTGAAATGCTGGGAACTGCAGCTCGCCAGCTCTTAATGGACTTCAGTAGTTCTTGTTCTCTAATATCTCTTTTTTTTCTCATCCCCCCCCCCTTCTTACCTTTTCTTCACTGGAAATATGGCTTCATAAGCCTAGTTACTCCCTTTTGTTTCCAGGTGAACACATAAGATTCCCAAACAACCTCAGGAATTTGAAATTGGAAAGTGTATTGTAGTTGCTTTCCAATTTCTATTTGCTATGTGGGGTCCTTGGTGCTCCCTGGGCTTAGTTATTTTCTGCAGATGTTTCATTACCCAAAGTACTACGTTTCCCTGAAAATAAGACCTGGTCTTATTTTAATTTTTTTTTTTGCCTCCAAAACAGGCACCAGGTCTTATTTGGGGGGGGGGTGTCTTTTCATTGGTCATACCTCGCGGTGGTGGCACCAACAGCCCTGCACATCCAGCCCACTTCTGTGGCCGCTCGCTGCCCCTTGCACGCATAGTCCCGGCCTCCATTTCACCATCAGGGGCCTTTGGGAAAGGCCTCTGCAGCTGAGAACTGAAACGTCTGCAACAAAGCAAGCTCAGAAAGCACCAAGGACTTCTTATTTCAGCCCTGAGCTAGAAATATTCTCATTTATTGGTATTTGCTATATATTCTTGTAAATGAAACATCATATTCTACATCAACCAGGAAAGTATGGCATGATACATGTCAAGGCAAAATCAAATGTAATTCATTATTGCAAAGTATCCAGATATGATGATGGTAAACATTTATAGAAAAAGAGCTTTTTGTACTGCAGATTTTGCTGGATCCTAAAGTTTACAAGCAATAAAAAAATGGGAAACAGGGTAGGAGAGAGAGCACTTAAATACTGAAGGTTAAGAATATCTAAGGGTCACAAAATGTTGATAACATCAAGAAGATCACTGGAAGAGGAGAATGAAATTGAAACAACGAGTCCTGGACTGGATGCCTTCCATCTGCAACATTTTGTTATAAACCTCACTTGGATTCAACTAATTTCATTCAAAACCAGTCATTGCATTCTGCCTGCCTTCCTTTTCCTGTCATTTCATGGTGCCTTAGCCAGGCTTTCAATACTCATTTCTAATCTCTCATGTTAATGCCCATTAGTGGGATCCTGTCAATTTCACTATGAATTTCTGTAACACTAAGTGATGTTGGCATCCTTTCTGGCAGCAGCTAATAGGTTATTTGACCTCAGGTTGCTCATCTCTGGCTGCAGGTTCCATCTGTCTATCTTTCTTAACTGCTATTTTTTTTTTTAATGGATGGAGAGAAGGGAGGCAGTGGTTTCTCTGTTTCAAAACTGACCTTGGTACTGTGTAGAAAAGCATAAAAATAAGAGTGGGCAGATTTATGAACCAGAATTAAGAAACAAACTCTGTTTCTTGTAAGTTCAGATTCTCTTGTTTTAGGGTTGGAGGTGGGTTTATCCCAACAATTCCCAACTTGTTGATCTGCAGATGCAGATTCTGAAATAATATGGCAGGAAGAACAGTTTAATTCTATCACCAGAACTAGTGCTTTTATCCAACTTCTTAATGGCTAAGCTTTAACTTAAGCAAGTTCCTGTTCTCTGTCTCTAAACTAGCAATTTAAGACACCAAGAATTGATATGTTGCCAGGCATTTTCAGTCATCTACGACAAATTAAGGATTTAATGGCTGGGTTTCCACATTGCTCAGGCTAAGCTATAACATGGTTAGCTTGGCTTGATCTAAACTTATGCTAGGAATCCAGCCCCATTTTTCCCTAATGCTGTGCTCATGACCAAAATGAAATAGGATGAGCTGAGAGATAATAACTGAGCCGAAATCCACCATGTGATCCATAATTATCTGGAATTTGAATCCTTAACTATTATATCAGAACTAGCTATCTTCTCCCCATACTCAGTATTATTCAAATGGACCAGCATCCTTGTTCTTAGCTTTCCTCCCTCTGGTAGCACATCTTATTCTTCTATTTCAAAAATCAGAGCTTGCTCATCTTGGTAAGCATAGGACAGGCAGATCCAGGAAAAGGAGACAGCTGGAATCTTATTTAGCCACAGGTGTTAACATTCTATGTCAATTCATAATGTACGTGCCTATGTGTTTATTGTGATGGTGAACCCAGTTAATGGTGATTTTCTCAACAAAGTATTCTTAAGCAAGGTATAGTTTAATAGCTCTGACTTCTGCCCCAGCACTAAGAATAAATAAAAAGCCCAGTGATAGCCTGCATCACCATAGATGGGGACTGCAGCCAAGAAATTAAAAGACGCTTGCTCCTGGGGAGGAAAGCTATGGCAAATCTAGACAGCATACTAAAAAGCAGAGACATCACCCTGCCAACAAAAGTGCATATAGTCCAGGCCATGGTTTTCCCAGTTGCAATGTATGGCTGTGAAAGTTGGACCATAAGAAAGGCTGAGCGCCAAAGAATTGAGGCCTTTGAACTCTGGTGCTGGAGAAGACTCCTGCGGGTCCCTGGTCAGTCCTAGAGGAGATCAACCCTGACTGCTCTTTAGAAGGCCAGATCCTGAAGTTGAAACTCAAATACTTTGGCCACCTAATGAGAAGGAAGGACTCACTGGAGAAGGGCCTAATGCTGGGAAAGACTGAGGGCTATAGAAGAAGAGGACGACAGAGAATGAGGTGGGTGGATGGAGTCATTAAAGCAGTGAGCTTAAATGGACTCCAGAAGATGGTAGAGGACAGGAAGGCCTGGAGGAATGTTGTCCATGGGGTTGCGATGGGTCGGACATGACTTTGCAACTAACAACAACAACAAGCCGACATGTAGACAAGTCAACATTCAGTCAATGTTCAGTCCTTGGCCTTGCCATGTCAAGTTCAGAAACCAAAGTGAAATGTTGAAAGATCCTGTTGGGCAATGTCGGCAGCTTCTGCCAAGGATAGCTTTTGAACCCATACACTTTCTGTTTGTTCTTTTCTAATCCAAAAGAGACTATTAGGTGGGCTGCAAAACCTTTAGGTTGATGGAATTATATCACCACATGATAGCAAACTATTTCATGCAGTTTCCCTAAACAGTGGGAATTGGAGACTTATGGGGGGGGGAGCCACTGTTTCCATCCCTAAAATAGCCCTCAAAAATTACTCCATAACACTCACAAATAAAACAGCAGAAAACTACTGATAGGAGGTGAATAAAATGCTCAGACAAAGGAACTCCAGGATAACTGCATAAAAGCTAATGTTCAAGCAAATAATCTTATATCCAGAAAAATCTTACTAACAAAAGAACACTTAACAGATTTTGTGAATCAACAGATTGTGAAATTTAAGGTCAAATTGTAACCATCAAGATGAAAAGAAGAAATAGCAACTCCTGTCTTTCCAGAGATTTTGAAGAAGTAAATCTTGTCATCAAATCTTGCGTGTTGTTTATTGCCAGATGTTGTAATACAGAGACACACAGCAGCTTATATAAAATATAAAACCAATACAGCATTTACTGTAATATGATACAAAATATTACACCAGCAGAAATCTTCAAATTATAAAAAGAGAAAATAATGATGGCTTGATTGACTCAGGAGAAGGCTATGTAAAGTCCTATTATGACTGTTAAGAGAAAGGATACTTCTGATCCGAGGTATGGAATAGTC